GGCACGTTCGGTCTGCCGACCATCGGATCCGAAAGTCAGCGCTGGCCATCACCGGCCGATAGGCCCATCTACCCCGCACATGTCCAAGCAGCTCTTCAGAATCAATCCTCAATCAGGTCACCTTGAGCCTGGGTAGAAATCCATTCTTCCATCAGGACCTGGCGACCAGGCTCTGCGGCAGTCGCGCCCATCCCGTCACCTTTGCGTGTGACGAGCAGACACAGCACCCAGCCGTAGATGTTGAACCCCTCATAGTTCGTTTTGAACTGCATCTTCTTGTCCTCGGGCTCTTCGATTTGTGGTATCGAGCCCTCGTCTTTCCTCCGTTTGGAAGTGCGTCGATCATTCGGGGACTCATCCCGCTCCTCCTCCGTCGCTCGCGCACGTTTACCTCCGGCATCGCCTTCTTCGACCGCCGCAGCTTCGGGGATATCCTGCATCCGCAGGTCACTCTCATCATCGCTTTCGACCAGAATATGACCGCCGGCGGTGCCACCCGCCCCCGCCTGAGCTTGCAGCTTTTTCTGGCTTTTGTTCGCGTCTTGTTCAAACTCCTTGTGTCGCGTCAACAGAGAGTGGCGTGTTCGAGATTCGCGAAGGAACAGGGCGACTTCGAAGTCATCTGTACCCATGGCATGATGTTAGCAGGTCTTGTTTCCAACGCCGCTGGAGAAAGGGCTTGCATCGGCCGAAAGCCAGAATTACCTTCTGCGATGACATCCTTGACGGGCTTGCCTTTCTTCCGGGCAAGGAGTCGTTCGTTTTCTTCGCGTAACTTGGGCAGGACCAAGGGTCGGATGGCGGCGAAGATCCGGTGCAGGACGGGGTCACGGCTGCTGAGCAGCCATCGGATGTCAGAGGGCTTCTCGAGGTAGATCCGACACTCGAGCACGGTGTACTTGCTGATCCGGAGGTAGCGGCGAATCGGCGCCATGAGAGCAACGATCACGGTTTGGACGGATGGGATGTAGGTGTTGTAGTGTTCGTCAAGTGGTTGGTTTAAGGTTAGATTCAGATTGGCACCGTAGCTTCAAGGGAGATAGGAGATAGAGGTGGCAGAGTGGAAGGGGATCGAGTATGCGTGTGTAAGTGTGTGTCTGTTGATGTCATGTGTGAGGTGGTCGGCGAGAGTTGGCGGAAAGCGTGACGTGACCAAGGCTCGGAGCTGCGCTGCCAAGCGCGCCCGGCAAGGGCGGAAAGACTGGGCATCAAACGTCTTCCTTCTCCGACGGTGCCATTTCCAGCGCAGGTGTGCAGTGTGGCCAGGAGCCTCTGGTATGATCGTCTCTTTCTCAAAGCTTCCATAGTATACAATCTATCAGTTAGTATTGTCCTATCTGTATTTTCCCATGCCAAACCCACAGTTGAGAAATCGGTACAGATTCATGAGAGATGTGTGACCTCACGAGTCTATATTTACTCTCTTGGGTACCCTGATGGTTTGATCTGGTGCTTGTTGAATTGAATTTCCATGAGGGTGTTCCTCCCATTGATCCATCTATCATTGTACTTGGCACAGTACATGTTCATTGAATCAAATTCATTAGATTCACAGTCATCTCCAACAACACAGAACACGTGTGAATGAGTACTCCGTGTTTAATCTACTCCGTAGTATATCTTTCTCTCTGTATCATATAAAACTGGCTTTTCTCGCTTTTCCGCTCACGGCGCAGATAAAGAAGTGTGTTGCACTATTGTAGACTACAGACATCTTATCATGTCAGGTGTGTAGCCACGTGACCAGCCCACTCCGAGATTGATCCGGGCCAATCAACAGTCCCAGAAAAGGAGGGTCATCCTGTCCGCAAGGTCCCCAAGTGCCCGAGGAATTTGACGTCGGTTTCCTCCAAGGTCCCCATCCACTGCAACATCGACCCGCACCTTTCCCAGAACAGAGTCGAATTCTTCATCGCCGCCACGATGGGCCTCCTCGACCATTGCCTCTGTCCGCCTGCTTATTGCGCCTGTATCACCTCAGTGCATCTGCTCGTTCATCCTTGCGACGTGTCGGTCATTCTCGAGTCGTCAGGCCATCTCAATCGCTCTCTTAGTCACTGCAGCTGCTGGTCGTCCCCCCCCCCCCCCCCTCTCAAAACCCACTGTGCTACCAAGGTCCCCATCTGACAGGCTGCTGCTGTCTCGTCGCTCACTAGTTTGACGTGGGCATTCTTGACTAGTCTCAACTCTCAAGGACCTTGGGGACTGTCGACGTGCCCGCTGGCAGCCGCACAACTGGATTTCGAACATTCAAGAGCGGGGGATCCAAAAAGGCAGACCACTTAATAAAGAACGCGGACCTTGCAGACGGACACTGGCAGCATTCTCAACCCTTCACATTCCTCCTCCCACGTGCCTTTTTTGACGCCTGCCACAACCCCTGTCACACACCCACCCGGCGATATTATTGGACTCCTCCAGTATCACTGGCTTTTTAGCGGTCGATCTATCCCGTTAAACCTTGTCCCTGGAGGCGGGCCCGTGCCACTCAAACACAGGACACAGCACAGGCTCAAGGGTCCTTGAGTTGCCGACGGATTTGGAAAAGGACGATTGAGCGCAGAAAGCATGGACTCTCTCCATACCCTCATTGCCAGAGACGATGGCTGCCCCACGGGCAACGAGTACGACGGCCGAATCGGCCTGCGCATCTCCTCCATCTTTGTGATCTTCATCGGCTCGTCGTTCGGCGCTCTCTTCCCCGTCTTTGCGCGGAGCTTCAGTGACGGCAAACTATCGAAATGGGCCTTCTTCGTCGCGAAGTATTTCGGGTCTGGTGTCATCATTGCCACGGCATTCATCCACTTGTTGGCCCCGGCCGAAGAGGCCTTGACGAGCGATTGCCTGACAGGGCCGATCACAGAGTACTCGTGGACGGAAGCGATTGTATTGATGACCATTGTGGTGTTGTTCTTCGTGGAGCTCATGGTCATGCGCTACGCACGCTTCGGGCACGGCCACGCTCATGACTCGGATAGCGAAGAAGACGACGACAGCCACCACCACCACCACGTCCAGCAGCAGCACCACCACGTTCAGGTCGAGCAGCCGGTGGCTGTCTCCGAGGACTTCAAGGGCCATATACCGGGCGAAGACCACCTCGGCCACTCGCGCGAGCACCACGACGTCGAGGCGGGCAAGAACCACTCGCACCTCGAGGAGTACATGGCGCAGCTGACCTCCATCTTCATCCTGGAGTTCGGCATCATCTTCCACTCGGTGTTCATCGGGCTGACCCTCGCTGTCACCGGCACCGGCTTCGTGACGCTCTACGTCGTCCTCGTCTTCCACCAAACGTTCGAGGGACTCGGTCTGGGCTCGCGGCTGGCCACGGTGCCGTGGCCGCACGCCAAGCGATGGACGCCGTATTTCCTGGGCCTCGGGTTCGGCGTGTCCACCCCGATCGCCATCGCCATCGGCCTGGGGGTCCGCAACAGCTACGCCGACAGCGGCGCCACGACGTTGATCGTCAGTGGCGTGTTCGATGCGATCTCGGCGGGGATCCTGATCTACACGGCGCTGGTGGAGCTCCTGGCGCACGAGTTCATGTTCAGCACCTCGATGCGCAAAGCCCCGATCCACGTGGTGTTGTCCGCGTTTGGACTGTTATGTTTAGGTGCGCTGCTGATGGCGCTGCTGGGCAAATGGGCATGATTCAGTTAGACCTTTTCCCCCTTCTGTATATAGAGATACCTGTTAGAAGTTGCTTCTGCGCATACCTTAGATATCTGCGCCCCACTTAGAAATAAAGCTGGACTTTAGCATTGACCGATGTTACGACGTACACTGTGCATTTAAAGAGTCAGACAGAAAAAGAAAAAAAAAAAAACCACCCCCACCTCCATCTTATACACCCCCTTAAGTTCCCAACCCTTTCTCCCAAGAAATCACAACCAAAATTCAGACCCAAGTTACAACTCATCCTTCGCCACCCCATCAATTCCCACCAACTCCGTCTCGAAGATCAACGTCGCCCCGCCGGGGATCGGGCCCACGCCGCGACTCCCATACCCGTACTCGGGGGGAATCGTCAACGTGCGCTTCTCGCCGATGCACATGTCCAGAAGGCCTTGGTCCCATCTACACGCCGAAAAAGTTAGCTTGCTGTCTGTCTGCCCAATGCATCTGCATAAGAAGCGCAGTTCAGCGCAATCAACCAGCTGAGCTCGATCCACCCAACCCAACAGTGTAATGAAGGCAACCCAATCTCTCCCCCCCCTCCCCCGGAAAAAAAAGGCAAAACTCACCCCTTAATCACCCGTCCCGCCCCCAACTTAAACACCAACGGCTGCCCGCGCTTGTAGCTGGCGTCGAACTCGGAGCCGTCCGCCGCCAGCGTGCCGCGGTAGTGCATGTGCACCGTGTCGCCGCTCTGGGTCTTGCGGCTGCATTCGACGGGGTGGGTGACTTCGATGCCGAGGTCGGATGAGGCAGCTGCCAAAGTGGTGGTGAATGTGGCCGTTAGGGCGGTGAGGGCGAGGGCGAGGAAGCGCATCTTGTTTGGGGGGTGGTTTGGTTGGTTTGGTTGGTAGGTTATTTGGTGGGTTGGTTGAGGGATTTGGAGGGGGAGGTGTGGTGTGGTCGTGGTCGTGGTCGTGGTGAGGGGAAATTGGTTGAAAGGAAGTTATGGGTTACGTTTTATGTTCTCTGGGGGCGGCAAGTGGAGAGGTGCCAGTGCTAGTGGAGAGAGAGTTCGCGGTGGGTGGCGGGCTGTGTTCCGCTCCCGGGAGGGGTTGGACTAGGACTAGGGTGCTTCTGTTCGGTACTTTACCACCTACTAATATCTTGAGGGAATACACTGGGGTACCGGAGGTTTGCTTTGGGTCTTGAGATGCATTTATTTGGGAGTGAGATTTCGGCTTTTTTTCTCTCTCAAATAAGGCAGGATAGAGGGTAGGAGTCTGCGGTTTGGGTTGGTTGGTCATTCTTGAACAAAACAAAGTGTATTGAACAATGGTAATCTTGTCAATACTACCTATTAATTGTTGCGCGAGGTGTGTGGACAGCATAGTCAGTTGATATATTCTATGAGTGGTGCTATACCTATATCCATATATATCACAGTCACAAATCTAGGGTATCATCGTCTAAAGCAACACCAGCTCCCCTTCCAGCTCAATCCATCGCATCCAACTCATTCACCTCTCCAAAGCTCTCTGTCTCCGTCTCCGCCACCAAAATCCCAACCAAACACTCCCCCAGAATCGCATCCCAATTCACCCACGGATGGATCTCCATGAACAGCTGCCCGGAATCCTTGCCCACCCCGCGCAGCAACTCCCCTTTCCCGCCCGGGTGGAACGGCAGATACGGCGTGATATTGTACACCTTCCCCTGGTAGGACGTCCATGCGTCGGCCCCCTTGCGCCCGTTCTGCGCCTTGAGCATCGACGGCGTCACCCGAATCAGCGTCGGGGGCAGGTTCTTGCCCCGAAGGTTGTTGTTCGGGTTGGACGTCAGGGCGGCCCAGTCCAGCGGCGAGTACCCCGGTTGGAGGATGTGTTTGTTCTTGTTCGACGCGGAGGACGAGAGGGGCTTCACGTTCAGTTTGGTCGGCGCGAGGGAGGAGGGGGAGGTGCGGCTCGGCGGTGCGCGCAGGGAGGAGGCTGCGGATGGAGGTGGGTGCAGGGATCCTGCTAGCCCGGCGGCGGGGTTTGTTGGGCGCGGAGGGTAGCGTCCTGCGGTCAGGGAGGATGATAGTGATTGCTGTGGCTGCTGTCGGGTTGCTGTTGGGCGGAGTCGGGGGAGGGGTGGCGGAGGCATGGACGTGTTTTTGGCGGAAGTAGTTGGAACTGTCGCGGACGGTTGGGCGGAGGGAGGGGTGATTTGTGGAACCGGTAGCGGTGGCGGAGGCATGAGACTTCCATTGCTTGGTTTGGTTTGGGAGGCTATTGCTGTTGTCGGTGCTGTCGCTGCTGCTGTTGCTGTTGTCGATGGAGGGGAAAAGGGGTCTAGCGGTCCATTGTGGCGGGATTGATGGACTTGCGCGACATCTGGTTTGGCCTCGTTGTCCAGGCGTAAGGACGGTATCTCAACAGAAGGCACGTTCGTCGCAGAGGCCTTGGGAGTGCTTTGGGTATCTTCTATGGGGACGTCGGGCTCCAGAGTCTCTGCCGCGTTTCTGGTGCTCTCAGAAGTGGGCGGTTTCGCGGATGTCTTCTCAGGCAGAGATTCAGGCTGAGGCTGAGGCGCCCAGGTAGCAGGCGGATGTCGGTAAATAAGATAACATGCAGCCGCAATCAGCGTTGCGACTCCGACCCAGCCCATGCTAGGCAGTGATACAATCTGGTGAGTCGTGGCAAGGGAACGGAGGAGGCAAGCAGACAGAAAGGAACAATTATGCGGAGGGGAAAGCTGAAAATGACGCCGAAACGCCGCCTATCGGCACGTGGTCCCTGCGTCGGCCCCTGATCGCCGCCTCAGGAATCCTCTCGCCTCCGCCGCGGCCAACACTATCGACTACATTATTAATCACAATACTGCTTAGCAACTTCACTTCAGAAGGAAAGCACAAGGGAGAACGAGAGAAAAGAAGCGAGTTATCGAATACCACGCCAGATTCCTGCAATAAGTTAGTCATATCGGGCTTGTTACGAGCCGTACCGGATATTACTACTTCATGGTCTAGTGTTGGTCCCTTCATTGTTTGTATGCGTTACTCAAAGGAGCGAAATGTGAAGAGGGGGGAAGTACAGCGACAAAAGGCTTTGTCCAGCAACATGTTAATATCGACACTGGGTCTCGGGGTTGAGTCAAAGAACAAAGGAGACCACATCAAGACAAACCGCATAGAATAAATAAAGCAGTGCCTTAGGACTCCTTACAATGGTCGAGGTGAACCAGGGTACCACTCTAGAACCAAACTACAACTATCAGATATCACCAATCAGGAAAAGATACGATAACATTGGTATGTACACTCGAAACAGAAAATAGGAGTTGGATGGTGTTCACAGTATCCGGCAAATCACACATGTTAAGAGCTTCCAACCCAGCATAAAGGAAACCATAAGGGGAATCTGAGAAAGAAGGAAAACGACAAATCACACGGAGACGATCTAGGCGAAGTCAAGCTCAACGTCCAAGCGGACAGCCTCCTCGTTGGAGTTACCACCAATGCCGTCAGCATCGGCGAGGTTGGAAGTGTAGGCGTTGATGACAGAGGCGAGAGCGCTGCCGATGGTGGAGCACTTGGAACCGGTGTGGTCGCAGATCTTCATACCCTGGACCTCCTGGCCAGCGTTCTGGGCCTGGATGGCGGACACGTCCCAGCCGGACCAGCCGTCGTTGCTAGTGTTACCGAAGTCGAATTCACCCCAGGTGCAAGAGTAACCGCCGTACTCGTCAGTGGGAAGAGAGTCACCCTTGGCAGCACCCCAGCCACCCTGGGAGTCAGAGTCGAAGGCGACGTAGCGAGTCTCACCGGCCTTGATCCTGAACTCGAGAGCCGAGTTGCCGTACCAGCCGTTCAGGCCACCGTTGGGACCGATCTTGTTCCAGAACTTGACGGTCCAGTCGTCGGACGAGCTACCCTGGAAGCGGACGACATACTGGTAGAGACAGGCCTTGTCCTCGCTGACCTCGATGATGTTGCTGCCCCAGGGGCTGCCGACGTTGCCGGAGTAGTAGATGGCATCGGTGGTGCGCTTGGCGTTGGACTTGGCTCCGAATCCCGAGCGGGTGTAGCTCGACGAGGTCGCAGACCACGACTTGCAGGTGCCGTCGGCAGAGGAGACAACCGAGGCGGAGCTCGAAGTAGCGGCAGCAGCGCTGGCGGCAACGGTAGCAGAGGCAGCGACGTTAGCGCTCACCTCGATAGTGGCAGCAGCCGCGACGGTAGCAGCAGCCTTGTTGGACTCGACGGTAGTCGTGGCAGAGCCGGACCAGTCGTTGACCCAGGACTCGAGGACACCATCGATGACAGCGTAGACCTCGTCACCAACGTTGCGCTTCTCGTGGTGGTGGTGGCGGCGCTCATGGCCGTGCATGCGAGCAACGGAAGAACCAGCCGTCAAGGCGGTCAACAGAAGCATGGAGTTCTTGAGCTGCATTGCGAAGATTGATGATGGTAGTAGTCTTGATGAGAGTGTTGGCTTTTGCTATGAAAGAGGTGCAAGACGAGGGTATCACGGATGTTTAAGTTGAAACCACAAATCGAGACCAGGGTAGACGCAGTTGAAAGAGTGATTGATAGGCAGTTCAAGTGAATAAGGAGTGACAAGAGCAACACAATAATGAGGCCCTCGACCTGAAACAAGCAATCGACAAAGGAGTGTGGGTTGCGAGCACCTGGAAGAACGATGGATTGAGGGAAAGAAGAAAGGGAGAAGAAGGGAGGAGAGATGAGGGAGGGGGAAAGAAAGAATTAAATTCGAAATTGAAAACGAGCGAGCATCGAGCCAGACTCTCCCCGTCCAGTTGGGGATGGGGGAAGTTTGTTGGTCAAGATCACGGATTGAAGGCACACCAAGACCCGTAGAGACCGACAATTAAATGAAAAGGGGGGCGGTTCCTGAACTAGAGTCAACTCTGCGCAGCCATTGGTGGTCTGCCCCACTGAGACCGCGGCTCGAGGCTCGGATTTCCCTGGATTGTTTCTGTCGATCCGCCTGTATCATACCGTTAGATTACCGTGCCTGGTACCTTACATGCACATGAGTGATGGGTGAGATGGGTGAAGATGGCCTGACGGTACCTACAGTAGAGTAGTAGGTTGCTGAAGCAGACAGCCAGAAGGTTCGACGATCCAACCACAACCACAACAGCAACAGCAACAGCAACAATGCAAGGCCTCGTCGTCTCCATCTCACACCCAGTGAAATCTCCACGATCTCTCTCGATCCTTCCGACACGTCATAATCAATGTATCTCACTAACAGACAAGTCACTATCACACTGCTGTCCGCGACATTCGTGATTGATTAGATCTCGCGGATGGCTTCTATCCACCACAAGGAATGCTGCTGCCCGATCTGAGGAATTCAGCCCATTCAAGCCATCGCGCACTGCTTATCGATACGTGCCTGCTGAAGAGTCACAATCTGCAGGCGCACTGCCTGCAACTTCGTCATCCCCTGCGAGACCCAGCTTACCCCCCTCACCTCTCCTTCTACACTCTATCCGCAGCCAGGACAACCACCGCTGTAATTTCAATGGACCACGTCAGGACCCACGAGGGTCACCGTTGTGAATCATCGGGCAACCAACTAATGATGTCAATAGCGACGGTGCGATGGCCATATCGCGGGGGAGATCGATAGAGACACTGTTTAAGCCGGACTTGTGGATGATCATGATACGGAATGAATAGGGTGGGAAGCGTATCAATTTGACACGTACACTGCCTATACGGACTGAACAGTCTCATTGCCATCTATTCTTGCTCATTCGATATCCGACTACTCTCTCTAGGCAAGTCGACAGTCGGTGCGCTGCGGTCGTGTTGCCCCGTCGTGTTGCGGAGATGCCTACAATACGGACGGGCTCTGTTACGGAATGGTCGGTATTGTAACTGCCTACACGCTGGACACGAATACCCTCAGGGCCCTTCAGGGACTTCAGGGTCTGTTGCCCCTCCGTCCCTGGATGCCATCACGCAAGCCAGCCGGCGCCATAAGGACCCTGGATAGCCCCCAAATCGAGAAACACCTGAAACGAATGTCGCGGTCGGATGGCCGCTGCAGGAACAACCTCATGGTGAGCAGCGACTGCAACAACATAGGCCGAGCGTTATTTCACTGTGCCTTACCAGTACGAAACAGACCAGTGGAATTGAATTGACTTAGTCGCGCCCACTGACCATAACCAAGCCCACAGTGATGTCTATCGCCACCCACCAAAGGTTGGCCCGTGAGAGAAAGAGACACCAATTTCAATGGTCGAAACTCAGTTTATCCACCCTCCTGGGTGACCGACGTTGGTCTGGATCACTTGATTCTCGAGCCCGTGCTTGCCGAGAAACTACAGAGTACTGAGGCCAGTAAATAAACAACGTTCCCTTGGGTGGTTGCGGACTGGATGAGACGGAACCAGAGTTGCTCAACTATGGAACAACGCTCGGAACCGCGAGCCTTTTTTCGGTTACTTGAGAATGACAGGATTGGGAAATCTGCCAAGTTACCTCCCCCCTAAGTCTAACACTAGACCATTTCATGAATAGCATGCTACACTCCTTTTTTCTGGACTTGGGAGCCACCAAATTTAAAGTGCTGCCTGTCCGGTTTGAGATGATGCTATTCCTGTCAAGGAGAGCGACTCGTCAGCTCTTGTGCGATCTTCCCCCTCCATCCCGTGTCAGGTGACTTGGTGACCGGAAAGCGACTCAGGCACTGCCGGTTGCCGCGGACGAACACAGTGAGACTAATTAACCCGACCTTGATTAATACGCACTCATATCACAGCAACAGTCACTTCGTTTCATACAATTATACAAGATTTACATTGGCAATATTAACAGACATCAGAATATAGTAATCATGACAGACATAGTTTGAAGGCGACGATTTACTTCTGCAGCTCAACCCCTCCCTCGAAGGCAGCGCCGCCCGCCTCGGCGTCCACCTTCATACTTTCGTCGAGCCCGCAAACGCGGAACAGCATCTGTGGTGTCATTTCCTTACTCAATCCTGGGATGCCATCCCTCTTGAGCTTTTCCATCGCCTCCTGCATGGCTTTATAAGCTGGCCCGATGGCTGCGAATGGGAAGATAATAATCCGGAATCCCATCTCCTTGGCTTCCTGCGCCGTGATGTCTGGTGTCGCTCCATGCTCGACCATGTTCAGAAGCAGTGGCCACCCTGCCAGGTCCTGCACCACCTGTCGAGCCATTTCCTTAGATGTGATGCCCTCGAGGAACCCTACATCTGCCCCAGCGTCGCGCGCCGCCCGCAGTCGTGCCACACTTTCCTCATAGCCGCGGACCTGCAGGGCATCTGTTCGCGCAATCACCACGATGTCGCTACCTATCCGCTGACGAGCCTGTACGGCAGCGCGAATCCGCGTCACGTAGGTGTCTTGGTCCACGAGAATCTTGCCTCCAAGATGGCCGCAGCGTTTCGTCTGAACTTGGTCCTCGATGTGAAAGGCGGCAACTCCAGAGCGCGAGTATTGTTCAGTCGTGCGACCAACCATGATCGGGCCGCCGTATCCGGTGTCCGCATCGGCAATGACGGGCGTGGTTGGGGAAAGGTTGGAGATCATTTCCGCATTGGCGCGCATGTCGTTGAGGGTGCAAATACCCAGATCCGCATGGCCGTGAACGGAGGCAGCTGTACCGGCACCCGTCTATTATGCGAGCTTGTTAGCAGAATTGAGTGTGGCCGGGCTTGCGTTGCCACTCACCATGTAGAGGGCATTGAAGCCTGCCCCGAGAGCAATGCGAGCGGAGAAACCGTCATACACCCCGGGAGCGACGACGAATGCCTCGGGGTCCGCGAGAGCCTGTCGTAGGCTTGTGGCTGCTGTTACCATAGGCATGATGGATGTTGGCGGCTGTATACACGAGTAAGTAAAGTAGTGTTTCAGAGAGAAGAAAAAAGTCAATGACGTCGCCACTCAGAGTCGGGTCTTGAGGGCGATAGAGCTGGCTTTATAGGGCGTTGATCCATTGCCCGAATCCCAGATTTGCCTCACCCATTACTCGTCTCGAGCCCCGACCGTTCTTTAGGACCCATAATTCTTCAAGGCAAAAGTAGGCTCTTAGAAAATGTCATCGCTGCTCAACCGACATCGGCGGACGTTAGGTAATCTTTCGGCCTAGGTTCGGATCTGAGAAACACAATGCCACGGGCGAGTTCTCGGCAGAGGCGACCGATCAGAGCATTGGCACATACAACTACTACGAATGGGTAGTGATTGTTTGAAGTCATGCAAGCTGCTTGCTGATGCTTGCCGACGCTCGGCGATGTTTACCCAAGCGTCGGTTTCGGCTCGGACGGGGAAGGGGAGGTTGAAGCTGAGGCTTTCAATCAAGCAGCAATAATGGGACTGTCCAGTTGGCAGGTGATTGCGAGCTTTTTCTGCCGTGCCGCGATTCAACCCCAGCTCCGCTCCGCTCCACTTCTCTCTCTTTCGCTCTTCTTCGCTGCATGCAATTCGCCTCTGCTCTCCCTTGGGCGCAAGAATGATCTGAAACCAATTCAACGGTCTCTTCGAATCGATCTACCTCTACCTCTCATCCCTCTCCTCCGATACTTCCTCGACAACCATCTCCATGGCCCGCTCCGCCATTGTGCAAGAATACGCCCCTCCGACCTCCGCACCCACGCTCTCCGTTGATCGCAAAGTCACCCACGAACGCCAACAGAATGGCGTCGCCCGTCCTCAAGGCTACCGCGTCTCGTGGCATGCGAATCCCGCGGTCGAACTGCATCATTTCGGGCAATCGCATCCGATGAAACCCTGGCGGCTCACTCTCACGAAACAGCTGGTGATGGCCTATGGCATGCACCATGCGATGGACCTGTACCTGGCTCGCCGCGCCACATACGAGGAGATGGAGGAGTTCCACACGCCCGACTATCTCGACTTCCTCCGCCAAGTGAACCCGGGAGACATGGAGAACTCGGAACAGAGCGAGAACATTGCGCGCTTCAATTTTGGGGACGACTGCCCGATCTTCGACGGCCTATACAACTACTGCTCGCTCTACGCCGGCGGCACCATCGACGCGGCGCGTAAACTGTGCAATAACCAGTCGGAGATCGCGATCAACTGGTCGGGCGGCCTCCATCACGCCAAAAAGTCCGAAGCGAGCGGCTTCTGCTACGTGAATGACATCGTGCTGGGCATCCTGCAGCTCCTCCGCCTCCACCCGCGCGTCATGTACATCGACATCGACGTGCACCACGGCGACGGGGTCGAGCAAGCCTTCTGGTCGACGGACCGGGTGCTCACGGTCTCGTTCCACAAATACGACAAGGACAACTTCTTCCCCGGCACGGGGGCGCTCGACAGCACGGGGCCGACGCACCCGCTCAACCCGGGGGCGCACCACGCGGTCAACGTGCCCCTCCACGACGGCATCGACGACGAGTCCTACATCCAGCTCTTCCGCGACGTGATCGGCTCGTGCGTGGACGTCTACCGGCCCGGCGCCATCGTGCTGCAGTGCGGCGCCGACTCACTGGGCTGCGACCGGCTGGGCTGCTTCAACCTCAACGTCTCGGCGCACGGCGCGTGCGTCGCCTTCGTCAAGACCTTCAACCTGCCGCTGCTGGTCGTCGGCGGCGGTGGCTACACGCCGCGCAACGTCTCCCGCGCCTGGGCCCACGAGACCTCGATCCTGCTCGACGCCCAGGACGTCATCGACCCCAACATCCCCGAGACCGTCACTTTCCGCAACCACTTCGGCCCGGACTTCTCGCTGTTCCCCCCGCTCTCCGAGATGCGCAAGCTCGAGAACAAGAACCCCCGCCCCTACCTCGCCGGCCTGCTGCAGTCCATCCGCGAGCAGCTCCGCTACATCGAGGGCGCCCCCAGCGTGCAGATGAGCTTCATCCCCCCGGACATCCTGGGTCTGCGCGAGGACACCGAGAAGGAGATCGAGGAGGAAACGGCGCTGATGGAGGAGGAGCGCGAGGACCGCGCCGGCGGCGGCAGTCTGGGCAAAGCCAGTCGGCGGAGGGAGCTGGAACGCGCCGCCGGCCAACGGGGGGAGCTGTATCAGTAGTAGGGCCTTGCCGGTGCTATCCTACCTTCCTCCGATCTTCTGGAGTTTGTTCTTTCGTGCTGGGGTCGTTAGCTGCATACCTTGTTTGTTCTTTTGTTTTCCGGTGTTAAGGGTGGGGGTGTCCTTCATGGGATGAAGGATACTGGCGTCTTTTGGGTTTCATTCATGGGAGGCGGACAGTGCAATATACAGCACGTGCAGTTTTGCAAATAGGTTGTGATATCCTGTTGATGTTGTGTCTTGTATGATAATTGGTTGGTGTTTGGAGGCATGCTATGAATGTCAATCTAGACTATTTACTTGATCTATGGGGAAGGGAAGGTTACTACTCAAAGTATGTTATTCTGAAGGCCATTGCTGTTGTTAGACTACAGTAGGTCATAGCTGGGCTGGAGGGAAGTGGCTGTACTGTAGTGTACTGTACGTGGTCGTGGAAGTAATCAACCCATGACCGACGGAGAACTTCATGAACCGAGATCCCTGCTACAGCCACAAAGGAAAGCACCCACCAACCGTGCACGCTCACAGCTGGTCTAAGGTACTACAAATCTACACCCGAAGTCAACCCGGCAGGAAAGGTAATCAACAGGGAGTCTCATATAACGATGCCAAACAATGAAGCTCTATCATCCACTCTTGTTTCTGTCACTACAACCACGCCAGAGTCCACAAAGCCGGCAAATGCGGCCACTTCTCCTGCCACGCGGCGAGAATCTCAGGCACGCGCTCATCGAAATTCCTCCTCGCCTCGCCCTGCCCATTCTCCCAGTCCGCCGCAGCCGCAGCCTCCCCAGCCTCCGCCCCGGCCGCCCGCCGCTCCTGCCGGGCCGCCTCATTCAACCGATTCGCCAACTCCAGAATCGCCTTGCCGCCGACCAGCGCCTCCTCATGGTTATCCTTGATATCGACATTAAACACATGCACCGGCCGGTTGAGCGGGGCGCCCTTGGCCATGAGGTCGTCGACGACGGCGTCCCAGCAGCGCTCCTCGCAGGTGATGATGACATCCACGACGCCGCCCTCGGTGCCCAGCGCGCCTTTATCCCCCTTGGCGACGTGGTCCACGCGCGGCAGGCCCGGCACCCAGTCCTGGAACCGCTCCGGCCCCCATTTCAGGTTGCGGTTGCGGTCCAGCATGTTCAGCAGGCCGTTGTACCGGTACAGCCGCTCGTCCTTCGCCGTCAGCTCCTCGTACATCTGGCTGTAGCTCGTCGTGTTGAAGTGGTAGATGTTCGGCTGCGTGACCGTCGGGCCGGGGAGGCGCACGAGCGAGCCGGTGCCGAAGGAGATCACGGGAAAAGGGGAGGGGGTTGCTGTTGAGAGGCGGAGGTGTGCTTCCATTGAGCGGTTTTGGTTTGAGGCGCACACCGTGCAGAAGCGGAGTTTGTAGGAGTCTGCGTCGCTGGCTGTGGGTGGTGGTTGGGCTGTGGAGCTGGTGGTGGTGGGTTCGGGCGGTGCGGCATTGTCGGTTGTGGTGGTTGTGTTGGTGGCTGAGCGCGTGGTGGCACGCATTGGTTCTTGGTGGATTGGTTCTTGTTCTTGTTGTTGTTGTTGTTGTTGTTGTTGTTGTTGGGTTTGTGGTTGTGGTTGGTGCTCCGGGGGTGGTGGGGGTGGGGGTGGAGCGGAGGTTGTGGTGGTGGACGCAGTGCCTGCACTGGTGCTTGTTGAGGATACTAGTCGGGGGTCGTAGGCCATGATGGGCAGGTAGATAGTAGGTAGGTAGTGAATAAGAAGGTAGGAAGGTAGGATGGTAAAGGTAGTAGTGAAGGTGCAGTAAGGTATCTTATGAGGCTAGCCTATCTGGTGAAGTGGGTCCACGAGGGGGTTTTTTTTTTCTGCTTTTACGCGTTGAATTTCTTCAGGAAATCTGCTGTTGTGTTGTGGTCGTGTCGTTGCTTTGTTCTCTGTCGGTTCAAGTCAAGGAGGTTGAAAGATGTTTTCACTAGGGCCCTGTAATGTCTACTCCCAGTCAGAATAATTCATCCGACAAGTTCTGATGATGATAACAAGCAGAAAGGAAAATGCAGGATCAGGTAAAAAATGCGTATAAAAGATTTGTCCGCATAATTGGCTCGGACAGCTCCAATAAAGATAAACTCATCATGCTGCTGCAAACAGAGATGCGAAGGGGCAAAAAAAAAAAAAACAAAAACACACACAACTGCGATATCTCGAATACATACCTCAAGGTGGCCTCTCATTATTTGTGGCTCATTTACGCAGAAAGTCTACAGGATGTGTGCAGTTGCAGTTGCAGTTGTTGATAAAAAGTCACGGGCCGCAGCCCTGAAGAATTGCGAATGGAAGGAAGTTTGCGTTCATTGGGAAGCTTGCGACGACGCCGCTTTTGTGCTCGTCGCCGCTGACTCATCATACCCGCCGCTGCTAGCCCGCTTTGGGACAGCTCCCCCGGCACCTGGCAGTTGTTGTTGATCATCAACTCTTCATCCTACTACAGTGCAGTACAATAACGACAAGCAATGATGCTATGCTTGCGATCTGTCGCCTTACTGCCCGTGAAACCCCCATGCAGTCTGCAGTTTGCCTCTGTTGAAACAGGTGTAGAGTATATCGCCCACAGCAAGGGATGCAAAACGACTCAGTCAGAAGACGGACGACTGATCCCAGAACCCTTCGCTGGTCATCTGGCCCGGTGCTTTTCACGTCATGCTGCAGCCATCCCGAAGGAGCCTCTGGGGAGAAGATCACGGGAAGGTGAGGGGAACGATGAGGCCATGCTGCCTCAGGGTTGACGAGTGTGGCTCACAGTTGAGATACCCTCACGGCTAAGCAGCGATCGACCCCGGGCCCTCCGAACCAGGGCTATAAAACGGTCGACTATAGACGTCAATGGAACAAAGTCCATGACTCCCTCCTGCAATGAGGTCGAAACTTGAAACATCTTTGGGCTGTCATTCCCAGTCACCCCCACCCCGCCAAGCCGGTCGCCCCTCTTGTTTACCAGGTGCAGCAAGCAAGCAGCCAAAAGCCAAAGCAGCAGGAGCAGCAATCCCGGAGAGGTGCAGAAAATCTCAAGCCTCTACAAGGCCACAAGATCGAAAGAAAATTCGTGATCCCAATCCCTCTCCAGACCAGAAATACCAACACGATCGCTATAGTAGGGCCTCGTTCATCTGGAGGCGAAAAAGACCACCCAAGAGTATAAATCGTAGCCTTGAGACAAGGCAAGGCAGACGATCAACGTCATCCGATGCACCGAAAGATCGCCCCTCCTCCCTCATAGAGACAGATTTTCATATAAATACAGTAGACTCTTCACCGGTGTCTCTCCGGTCCACCAGAATTTCTCAGACGAACATCTTGAGACCGCCTCTTCTGACCTGATTGTGGCTTGTGGCGCAAAGCTCACCTCCCAGCACCCTAGCCGAGCGGCTGTCATCGTTGATTTGATTGAAATTAATTTCACTTCTGCTCGAACTAGACACGAAAAGGGACGAGACATACGAAAACGAGAAGGAAAGAAAAAGGGTCTAACGGGACGCAATCAGTGGTAGTTGTTCTTCACTGCCTGAGCCTGCAGCAGGAGATTTTTCTCTGCTGATTATTCTATATATTTTTCCATTTCTTTTGCCTTCCATTCCTAATCTTTCTCTCTCGGCTTCTCATCTTCATTTATAGCTTCTTGTTGGACACGGGAGAGATCAAATTCACAGCCTTCTCCCAAACAGCCAGAACCCACGGATAGTCATGACCATAACCATTCCCCATATCCGACGTCGTTCGTCGGTGGCTAGTCCCACAAGTGAGTAGAAGTAGTAGTGGTGGTTGAATGTTATTGATGCTGCCGTGGCTTTGACCCGGAGGTTGAGATCCCCTCCTTCTCTCTGCCTCCTCCCCACGTCATATTTTCTCCTCCCCTCCTACTCTCAACTCTCACTCTCTCCCTCCTCCTCTACTCTCTCCTTCTTTCCTCCCAGCCCAACACCACTTCTCTCCCTATTGATCTGCTTCGACGCACCCGTCATTATGTCTGCTGACTGGGGCTCTTTCTTCCATTCAGGTAGCAGGTCTTCCCATGAGGAGCCGAAGCCTGAGAATGTGAGCGGGGACGATGAGATTGTCGAGCCCGATCAGGGCAACGGTACGTATGGATCAGCCCTTCTCCCCACCTCGAAAAAGAGGTTGTATACATGAATAGGTGGGGTCAATAGATCTAGAACTTGGTTCACATCTACAATCTCCCGCAAGAATTATGGCTTGGCTGTTGCTAACCGGCCCTGTTAGTCCTCTCCCACATTATCTCGCAGCTCCGACCGGGAGCAGATCTCAGTCGGGTCGTCCTGCCTACCTTCATCCTCGAACCCCGATCCATGCTGGAGCGCATTACAAAGTAGGTGGAGACGAGAATTGCAGCGGAATTGCGGTCGCTGACTTCATTGATCCTCCCATCAGTTTCATGGCACACCCCGAGACCCTGCTGCCTATGCCCGATATCGATGACCCCCTCGAACGTTTCGTCTCTGTGGTCAAGTTCTACCTGAGCGGATGGCACATCAAACCACCGTAGGTCCTCCCACTCTTCATATCCTTTGTTTCCAGCGCTTCCGGACCCCGTTAACCCCCCCCTCCACAGCGGTGTGAAGAAACCGCTGAACCCGATCCTGGGCGAGACCTATACCTGCTACTGGGACTACCCCGACGGAACCCGCGGATACTATATCTCTGAACAGACCTCGCACCACCCGCCCAAGTCGAGCTACTTCTTCATGGCCCCCGAACACAACATCCGCATTGACGGCACCCTGAAGCCACGCAGCAAGTTTCTCGGGAACTCGGCCGCCAGTATGATGGAAGGCATTGCTATCCTGCGCTTCTTGAACCGCGGCCAAGATAAGGAGAAGGGCGAGCGATAGTAGGTGGTCCTTAAGCGCTCGGGGGTGATTGAAGCTTTTCTAACGTGTCCCAGCGTCTTGACGCAACCCAACATGTACGCTCGCGGCATATTGTTTGGAAAAATGAAGTATGAGCTTGGTGACCACAGCTACGTGCGCTGCCCGGAGAACAACCTTGTCGCCGACATTGAGTTCAAGACCAAGGGTTATTTCTCGGGCACCTACAATGCTATTGGTGGAACGATCAAGAACGAGAAGACTGGTGAGGTCTACTACGAGCTGACCGGACTCTGGAACGGTGAGATGTACATTAAGGATGTGCATGTATGTTAACCAGCCCCTGCCCCACCTTGAGCTGTCATTCTAACGGCAACAGACCCATAAGAAGGAGCTTCTCTTCGACGCAACCCACGCCAAGCACACTGCCCCCTTGACCCGGCCTCTCGAGCAGCAAGGCGAGCGCGAGTCCCAGCGGTTATGGCACAGCACCGTCAAGGCCATCATCGCCCGAAACCACGAGGCGGCCACGGATGAGAAGACCAAGATCGAGGACCGTCAACGGGAGGAGGCGGCCAAGCGGGTCGATGAAGGTGTCGAATGGCACCCCCGACTCTTCCGTCGGGTGCAGGGTGGGCCCAACGGCCCGGACGAGGGCGAGGAAGACTTGGATTGGATCATCAATGCGCATGTGTAAGTTGCCAGGCTTTGCGCACGTCGAGCGTGCCTGGAATCGGAATCGAGACTAATATGGAGTAGCGACGCGCATGACCCTGAGCTTGCGGCCAAGCAGATTCTCGCCATCGCTCCCATCCTGGACGGCCAGACGGAGTCTTCCGAATATCAGATCCCCCCGCACAAGTCGCACGAAACCGTTCCCACTGACGAGGTGGCCAACGGTGAGGCGCCTGTTCCGGTACAGCCCAAGCCCGAAGTCGTGGAAGCAGTTGAGCGCAAGGATTCCCGCACCAACGATATCGACGCGTACGTGGATGCGAAGGAGAACTGAGCGAGCGACAATCGCCCGCGAGTCCACGAGCCAAGGGATTGCTCGCACAGCGATGGGACATAGGAGGGAACGGGTAGGGCAAGTCGGTTGTTGTGGATATGCCTTCCAAAAAGACCTGCACAACAGCCTATAATTATGGTTCAACACCGGCTTGCAGGACGAGCTTACTACCGTTTCGGCGTCATACTATACTGGATACCCGATTGATTTTATAGTACGGAACATGCGATTCAAAAAAAGTTTCAACAAGAGATTTGGGAGAGGGGGGGGGGAAGGGAAAGGGGGAAAGGGAACATAAGGTCAGCCACTCTGATGTAGATACATACCCATGTTTCGTACACATTGGGAGGAAAGGCCGATGAGGGGAAGGAGCAGCGACCATTTTTCCTTTTTATTGTTATTTTCTTCAGCCTTAACCATAGACTTCAGCCCACTGAATGATAATATAATATTTCAATTTGCAAGATCGTACCTCATGTAACGTATCGGATGAAAGAAGGGGTATCGTTTGTTTGTTGCCATATATTGCATATCCTGACCGATAATGCAGTCCAATCCAATAAATCCGAATCGTGGAAATAGTGTCGCCAAATATGCGCCCTTACTGATATCAAACCGAGAATGATTCAAGAATGGCGGAAGGAACCCAATCGCCAGCTAGTGTAACATAAATCCCAAACCAGTTCAACCTCCTCTCCCTCCTACATCTCCACCACCACCACCACCATCACCCTCCGCCTTGACCTCCTTCTTCTCCTCCACCTGCACCTCAGCAAAAAGCTCCTCCCTCCGCTCCGCATACCACCGCTCCAAACACGCCCGCCGCTCCGCTTGCGTCATCCCCTCCACCACCAACGCGAACTCAGTCGCATTTGCGAACCCGAACCGCCTGGCCATACTACAGAACTGCCGCTTCCGGACCCCCTGCGGCGGGTGGAACTTATACTTGATGGGTGGCTGCGAGGACAGTAGGAGCTGCGACTGGGACTGCGAGTTGCGAGTGGTTGCGGCAGCACCGAAGACCCGCTTGTCGAGGGCGCGGTGGTCATCAGCGGTGAGCTGGGCGCGGCGGCTGAGGCGTTCCTCGATCTTGGAGGGGCCGATGACTTCGTTGTTGAGGTGGGTGTATTCGACGCCGGCGTTGGCGAGGATAGCTTGGATTGGGTCGTGGCGGGGTGGGGTGGTGGTTTGATTTGAGTGGTGGGCGGTGCGGGTTGATGAAGAGGTTGACGTCTCGCCGCGGATCATGGCGGCGAGGTTGTTCATGACGGCGTCGGTGGTGGTGTCTTCGTGGGTGGCGGGTTGGGGTTTATGACTGAGGGGATCGTCGGGGTCCTCCTCCTTCGCCATCGAGGTTAGGTCGATGTCCATGACTTGGACGCCAGCGCGGCTTTCGGCAACGTTGGTCTTGTTGACGATCTCGCGGAGGACGATGTTGTCGGTGCGGTAGGCGAAGAGATTGTCCATGCCGAAGATCTCGCCCTTCTTGTCCTTGTTTTCCTGCACGCCAGTGAAGTAGCGGCGCTCCGAGCTGGCGTTGTAGCCGATGTTAGCCTGCTGCTGCTTGTAGATCTGGCGGGCGTAGACGATCTCCTCGATGGTGCCGACGGAGATGAGGCGGAAGACCTCGACGTCGCGCGACTGGCCGATGCGGTAGGCGCGGTCCTGCGCCTGCAGGTCGTGCGAGGGGTTCCAGTTGGGGTCGACGATCACCACCTTGTTGGCCGAGGTGATGTTGAGCCCCACGCCGCCGGAGCGCGTCGAGATCAGGAAGACGAACTGCCGCGCGTCCGAGTTGAACTCGTCCACCACCTTCGTGCGGTCCTCGTAGCTCATCGACCCGTCCAGGTAGCTGACGTTGTAGCTGGTGTAGTGGAAGAGCATCTGCAGCATTTTAAGGAGGCGCACGCTGTGGCTGAACACCAGCACCTTGTCGCCGTTGGCGTGCCACCATTTCAGCAGCTGCCGCAGCACCTTCCACTTGCCGCAGAACTCCGGGTTGGCGAAGTTCACGATCGAGTCCCGCGAGCGGTACAGCTTCTCCCACTGCTCCGGCACCGCCAGCTCGAGCATCTCCCTGTCCTTCTCCTGTTTCTCCGCGGGATCGCCACCCTGGGGGATGAGGATGGCGAGGTGGTTGCTGAGCTTCTGGAGCACGGCGATGGCTGGGAACACGTAGCTCTGCCATTTCGCGCCAGAAGGCAGGAGCTGGTGGCAGCACCAGCCGGATTTCCTCCCCGACCCGCAGTCACAGGGATCGGTGGACGTCTTGATGTATGTGACGATCTCGCTCTCCAAGATGTTCTCGTAGGCCGCGGCCTGCGTCTCGGTAAGCGGGCAGAAGACGACCCGGTCGACTTTCTTGGGTAACTGGTCAGCGATCAGAGTCTTCATGCGCCGGAGGAAGAACTGCGGCAGGAGATTCTCGACAAGCTTTTTGGCTGTTGTGCGGGCCTTGCGGAGCTCGTACACAGTGGCATCGTGCGACTGCCCGAGCTTGAGAGGCTCAGAGATCGTCTTCTTCCAGACGGTCACCGGGCCCAGTTTGCCCGGATTGCACCAGTTCAGGAGCGTCCAAAGCTCCTCGTATTTGTTCTGAATCGCGGTGCCCGTGAGGCCGATCCGACAGAGCGCGTTAATCATATTCATCGCTTTGGTCGTTTCCGACTTGCGCTCCTTGATGATATGGCACTCGTCCGCAATGACGCAATCCCAATCCACCATGTTGACAGCATCTTTGTTGTGCAGGTAGGTGCTGTATGTGGTGACCAGGATCTCAATTCGCCCGGACCTTGCAGCTTGGAGCGCAAGCTCTTTACTGTCGCCGTGGTAGGTATCGACCGACCACCAGCCCCAGCGGGCCAGCTCCGAGATCCAATTCTTGATCAAGGTCCCCGGGCAGACGATCAGCGTCCGCGGATACCAGCAGTCTTGCCCGCTGCGGCGCATCTTTCTCATGCGCTTCGCATCTCTTTCATCCCCCGTCTTCCCGTAGGCTGCCGTAAGGAAGGCAATCACCTGCACGGTCTTCCCTAGGCCCATATCGTCACCGAGGATTCCGCCCTTTTGGTACACGAACAACTCATGTAAAAAGGCAGCGCCGTCCACTTGATATTGACGCAGCCACTGCGCGATGGGGGCGGGGATCAGCCCCAGCGAGTAAGGCAACGTGATATCCTTGTAGTGATTACACGGCCTCAGATGTTGAAAGGCCGGCTTCTCCTGCAGGATTTCGAGCCGCTCGTCGTCCGAGAATTCGACCTGGTCGTAGCTGGGAGGCAACTTCAGGCCTGACGCCTTGAGATGTTCCGCCCGGCGGTCGAACTGCACTCGACGCCTCTGCAAGTAGTCGGGGAGGGTGTATTCCATCAGCTCATCCTCGGAGGAATACTCGGCGCCATACTCTTTTAGCGGCCGCCGCGGCTTGGCTCGTGCATTCGATTTCGGGAGTCGGCCAACGAAGGCGTTGATGACGGGAGATTCGAGCTTGAGAGGCTTGGTGGCGTTGCTCTTCCGCGCGCTGGTGGACTGCCGCTTGCGTTTGAGGGACTTCCGGTTCTTAAACTCCTCGTAGGCGGCCGCGCCCTCGTTGAATGAGGACGATGCATTGTCGCTGTCGCTGTCGCCGGCAATGTCCAAGACGGCGATGGGGGTTTTGGTTTCAGGAGGCGAGGACCGCTGCTTGATAGGTGTGCGGGTGCTCGTCGAGGGACGCGGTGTTCTATCGCCTGGGGTCGAGAGTGGACCTGCATTCACATTCACAAGATGAGCGAGACGCCAGCTTGACGATTCAGAACAGAATGCGGAGACATACGAGGGAAAGCAGGGCGGGCGGAGGGACGTGGGGTGTCAAGGTCATCGTCATCTGTGCCAATTGTAGTGGCATCCGAGTCCCCTGGCTCCCATCCTGAGCCCATGTTGAGGCTGACTGCCAGATGGATGAGTTGTTACCGACATGAAAATGCAGGTTGAAAGAAAGGTGAGTGGTTGGAGATGCGGAGACACAAGACGGCGGAGGATGGCAGCGCCCAGTGGGCTGGCCGGCTTCCCGATTGGGCAACGAGCTGATCAAACCCAGAATAATTCGGCGCCGAAAAGTCAACCTCCGCAACCTCAACTTCAATCCCTTCGCCATTTCTCCCTCCATTACTCTACGCGCGCGCTTGAACATCACCCTCTTCGACCTACTCTTTGAAGGAACGTCATCTTTGGACGGTCATCACCTCAGTTTCTCTAATCCCAACTGTGCCGCCCCGTCGCAGCAACAAAAGTCGAATTGCACGTTTGGTGCGGGGAGCAAAATCGGACTCTCGCAAGTCGCCCTTTCTCCATCTCTCTCTCTCTCCGCCGTCGCAACCCACACAGGAAACTCGACGCCATTGAGCACACACACACACACACACACACATCCAAAGCAAAATGCCTCTCGACACGTCTACGACATACCCGCTCACCAAACTACGCCTGGATGGCCGACGCTGGAACGAGCTGCGGCTCCTTCAAGCGCAGATCTCCACCAACCCCGCCAGTTCCGGCTCGTCATACCTGGCCATGGGCAACACGGCAATCATCTGCTCGGTCCACGGGCCCGCGGAGGGCCGTCGCGGGGATGCCTCTGGCGGCTCGGCGGGCTCGTCCGGGGCGGTCGTGGAGGTGGACGTGAACGTCGCCGGGTTCGCGGGGGTGGATCGGAAACGCCGTGCGGGTGGAAGTGACAAGTAAGGGAATCCCATCCCTACGAGGAACATAATGGCTACCAGGACACTGCTAACCCTGATCTCTTTTCTATCTGTGTAGACAATCCTCCCGCATCGGGACCATCCTCCGCTCCGCCTTCCAGTCACACCTGCACACCTACCTCTACCCGCACAGCACGATCAGCATCCACGTCTCGGTGCTGTCGGCGGACGGCTCCCTGCTGGCGGCGGCCGTCAACGCGTGCACGCTGGCGCTCGTCGACGCCGGCATCCCCATGCCGGGGCTGCTGTGCGCCTGCACGGCCGGCATGAGCGGCAGCGCGTCCACGCCCCGCGACCCCACCAACGACTTCCTGGACCCCCTGCTGGATCTGTCCCTGCCGGAGGAGCAGGAGCTGCCGTTCCTGACGGTGGGGACGACGACGACGGTGCCGGTCGGCGAGGCGGCGATGATCCACGATGACGAGGACGAGATGAAGGTGTCGATGTTGACGATGGACTCCAAGGTGCATTGCTCGTATGTGGAGACCATGCTGGCGGTGGGCATTGACGGGTGCAAGCAGATCCGGGAGATTCTGGAGGGGGTGATTAAGAAGTCGGCTCGTCGGTGATTGTTTATTTTTTTTTTTCGGTGTTTGGTTGCAATGAAAAAGCATGGCAGGCGAAATATTTGTGTATATACCCCGTGAAACGAATGCCATGGGCGGTGTTAGGCGTGGATTTCTGGAAGTTCTCAGTACGCTTTCTTTCGACATTGCAAATTCCTTTCATTAGGTCGACGTGAACGGTCGTGGTCTGAGAGGGCCCGGGGGGTGGGGAGTGCATAAATCTGCTCAATTCTGCGCGCGCTGCATCTTCCCCATTGGCCGGGTCAGGGGGGGTATGGCTCGCTAGCGAGTGGGCATCGTGGTGCCAAAGTCTTGGAATCTGCGCAGGATGAGCGAGTTTTCTTTTGCCATGCTTGATGGATCAGACGATGGGTTTGGGCTGCGGTGAGCTGGTTGAGGTTATCCTATTGTATCGATGCAGGGTGAAGCTGGCTATATCAACCTCCAGACCCCTGCTGTGTCCAGAACATTGATCACCAAGAAAGATCATCATCTCCATCTCTATACTCAGATAATCCATCTCCAACATGGATATGCCCACATCCACCACCATGAACATGGCCATGACCATGGCAACCACCAGCGCCGCCATGGGCACCAGCACCGCATCCTCCATGTCCATGGACATGGACATGGGCACAGGCAGCTGCCAGATCTCCGTAATCACCCCCCTCCCATCTCCTCCACCCAACAAGATTCCCCGTCAATACTAAAGAAGGAACCAGATGCTCTGGAACTGGACCACTATCGACGCATGTACGCCATCCCCAATCCCAACGCAACGCAACCCTAACCAAGACCACCCTCTAACCCAACCACCCCCCTTGGGGGGAAAAGGCTTCCTCTCCAAATCCTGGCACATAACCACCAAAAGCATGTTCGCCGGCTCCTGCCTCGGCACCATCTGCCTCGTGGTGTGCCTCGAGTTCCTGCGCCGCGTCGGGCGCGAGTACGATGCTTTCCTCGTCCGGCGGGCCCGGTTGCGGTATCAGTTTCTCTCAACCCTTGATCCTTCAGAGGGGGAGATGCCCTTAGCGCCGGCTGCTTCAACTTCTCGGTGCAAGAACGCAGTCCCAGCAGCAGCAGCAGCAGCAGCAGCAGCTACTGTAGGAACAAGCACGGCAACAGCAGCACCATCCTTCCGCCCAACCCTCCCCGAGCAACTCGTCCGCGCAACCCTGCACATGCTGCAGTTCGCCGTGGCGTACTTCGTCATGCTGCTGGCGATGTATTTCAACGGGTATATCATCATCTGCATCATCCTCGGGGCGTTTCTGGGGGCGTTTGTGTTTTCGTGGGAGGTGATGGGGGAGGGGGTGGGGGTGGTGGGGTAGGTTTCTTCTTCTGTTTCTCTTGTTCTTTGCTTCGGGTTTCTCCGATCGATGGCTGACATGGTATCTGTCTGTGTTCAGAAACGATGCTACCGCCGTGACGAAGTGCTGTGGTTAGACATCCTGTACTTCGACCCTCGTGGGGTTGGTCTTGATATACTGGGACTGGAGATGGTCAGGGAGACTAAGTCTACGATGCAGTTGCATCGAGCCGCGTTCGAACTACAGGACGAAAAGAGCTGATGTGAGCTACGCAGAACCATGGAGAGGGAGATACAGTATACATGGACGGTGGAACAGAGGATGAGCTGCATACCGTATTGCATGATCCAGAAGTATCCTGCTATCGTCACTACGGCTCCATCCACAACCAACACAGATTTCTACTCTCTCATCAATCTACTGAGTACACCGTAGAGTAAAGTAGGGTAAGATTTCAGAAATAACAGAACAACCCAATTGTCCACTACAGTCCAGCCCAGTCCAGTCCAGTCCAATCAACGCCCGAACCCGTCAATCCCGTCAACTGGAATGACCGCACATAACCCAAACAAAGCAGATAATCAACACGGGGGATAATTGTGCTGAACAAACCAATCCACAACCCTACAATGCACATTTCGAGCTCATTTCCCCTCAAACCCCAGAAGAAAAAAAAAAAGAATTCGACAAGATCTAAAAGCTAGTCAGAAAGGCACGTATCAAGCATTGAGCCACCGCACAACTAATCACGATTTATTCATCTGGACATAGCAACCTCAGAGACAAATCTCCGTCCAACACCTCCACGATCAGGTCAACAACTGTAAAGCACTGCACCAAGAATTATACGCTGATATGCCGGAAATCTAATGCACCGCACAAGGCAAGAATGCAATGCAGCTGGCCTTGCAGACGGATGTACAGTTGCAACTTGCACTTGCAGGTCACTGGGTGTCGGAACCAAACGGCAATCGCCTCCGGGCATCAGTCAGAGCCAAAAGTTACCCCGCTATCCCAAGCGGGGTTGGTTTGCCACCTCTCGACCGAAATGTTCAGCTTGGTTGCCCTCCCTCAGCTCAGCCCGCGGTTCTGATTTCATCATGGCGTAACACCCGGACTCTAGTTCGAACTCAGCAGTAGGTAGTTGTGAGGGATGACGAGTCGCATTGGGGCTGCATAGTAGTCGTCAATATATCGACTCCATGCTTTATGCATGCAGGCAAATAGTCGTCGTCTTACGTGCAGCTACTACATTCGCGTCTGACAACCAGGGACGGAACATATGCAGAGTTCAATATGGACACTCTAGATTACAGCATACCAGAAAGAAAAAAGCGGGAAGCAACTAGATGAGAGAGAAAGAAAAAGAGAAAGAGTCCTATTGGTCCACCTTACTCATTCTTCTTTCCCCCACTCCGTATCACATATTTTTGGCTCGTTAAATGGCTAAAAACTGCTTACAACTCACCGCTGTTGACGATCTTGGGCTTGACGGCGGAGCGGACAGCGCCGGAGCTGCTGCCGATGGCCTCGAGCTCCTTGACGACCTGCATGGACTCGGCGTCAGCAACCTCGCCGAAGACGACGTGCTTGCCATCGAGCCACGAGGTGACAACGGTGGTGATGAAGAACTGGGAGCCGTTGCTGTTGATTTGGAGGTTAGCGGGGGCTGCGCCTTGGGGCTCCTGGAAGAAAAGAACTTACGTGTGGGGACCAGCGTTGGCCATGGAGAGGAGACCGGGGCGGTTGTGCTTGTAGATGAAGTTCTCATCGGCGAACTTCTCGCCGTAGATGGAGCGACCACCAGTACCCTGGATGATGAGCATGTCAGTCAAAATTCTGATTCCTGGTCAACCAGCGGGCAGTGGAAGAAACTTACGTTGTGGCGGGTGAAGTCACCACCCTGGAGCATGAACTGGGGGATGATACGGTGGAAGGTAGAGCCCTTGTAGCCCTGACCCTCGGGACGCGTGCAGAGCTCACGGAAGTTGCGAGCAGTCTTGGGGACGTCCTTCTCGTAGAGGTTGAAGTTGATGCGGCCAACCTTGGCTGGAGAGTCGAAGAAAAAAAAATCATGTCAGCCAGAGATTCTCTTGCCATTGGCAGACTCTATTGGAAGTAAGAGAGAGACGAAGCATGTCCTGACCTCCTCTCACCCCGTCACAGATTGCAAAAGAGGGGTAAGAAAAGGCTGCTCCTCTCCCTCGCCAGGCAACAGCAGTAGCCAGAGCTGGAGAGGCAAAAAAATCGAAAAAGAGAATCAAAGGCAAGACTTACGGGCGCTGGTGCCCACAGGGGCGTACTCGACGTCGAAGAAGGCCTTAGTGTTTCCAGACATGGCTGCGGATGTTTGATGGAAAGAACGAAGAGAGAGGAAAGAAGGGGAGTTGCAATTGGGGATGGAGAAGAGGGGACGAGAAGCGAAGGACGAGCAAGGTGGGGTTATTGTTGACCTCAGGCTTCGGGAGAACATTGTTGCTGGAGGGGCAGTTCGCACTATACCGCTTCAGGGTCAGCTTCGTTGCACTTCGTCCCGCCACAGCCACCAGCTGTGCAGTCTTCCCGCTTGGTCATTCGTGGAGCCTCAGGCTGCCAACCAGGCTAGCAGGCTAACAGGGCGAGCAGGTCAGCAGCCCCCAAACTGCCGCTGTCGGACCTCTTCCATCCACTTCCATGGAGAGAGAGACACGCGCGCCTCATCATCAAATCCCGTCCTCTAAAGCAGCATTCACAACCAATTGGGGTCGGGCAGAACAGGAATGGAGGTGCACTTACAGGAATTCAAGCTTACAAGATGATTAAAGATGTGTGCAATGGCTGCTGGTGTGGAGAGGAAAGGGAAATCAAGCTCAAGGGGAAGACATCGGACCGGCGAAGAAAATATTCCAGCCAGCTCCCCAAAAGAGTATGGCCGCGGATTAAGTAATACCACTTCAGCTCAGCTTAAGACCGGAGCTCCCCAGCATTATTTTCGCCCCGGAATCCCTCGGGAGACCACAGCAGCCACGTGATTAGCCACCTCGACTATACGTTGTGATGTAGCAGTACTGAATTGTGGTACCATTGTTATTGACGACTCTGGACACAAGACTATTCAAATCTAGAAACATAATGCAAAGAGAAGAATTGAAAGGCTGACCGCTGCATCAACAACTGATCAGCCGTTCCTGTGCATATCAAAGCACAGCTAAGCCCACAAAAGGGCTATCGAAGGTGAAGAAAAAGGTCACATCGCTAATAGAGGAAAGTGTACATGGAGCGATGATAGGGAAAACAGCGAAAAAAGGGTAGGGGTTGAAGGGCAAGAGATCTCTCACCCCACACCGAGAACGAAAGTAAAAGAAGTCGTAAAAGCTCCTCCAGGTATCAACGTCTCATTCCGCATGGTTACTCATTGTCATGCACAATATATGCAGAAAGATACCGCCATGATTGGCAATAAAAGTATCATCGCTTGCGTGGTGGCAAACAGACGACCAAGAAAAGTCGGGGAAATATGTAGGAGAAGTGAAGAAATAAGGTACAACATGTCTTGCCATAGACATGAATAAGAAGTGGCGGGTAGAACTGTCGAACATTGAACGAGAACAACATTCAAAGCCAACCCGAGCTCATTGGATCGGCCGTACTACCGGAAGTCATCTTCATCATCATCCAGTTCATGAGGATCTAGCTGATGAACAAGCTCTTTGGTCTCCCGAGCGATCTCAAAGGCAATGGGCGGAAGCTTATTGGTGAGTGCGCGGAGCTCGGCGAAATCAGAGACCCCTTCGCCCTCGGCGGCGGTGCCTGTCAGCCGGTCCCGGTGCTGTTCCAAGGTCTGAATAATGGAGCCGGCACGTTGACGCAACGTGGGATTGACTTCAGGACCACTGATGTAGTGCTGCGTGGAGGAGTTTACCTGTGACACCACGGAGGAAATGGCAGAGATGTGGGTGCTAATGGTGTTGAGGCCTTGTTCAGAGCGAATGCTAGCAACAAGAGCCTGGATCGACTGGACGAGTCCGTCCGTTTGATCCTCGAGGTAGTACTATATTCCAGGTTAGCATTAGCTTACAGGGACGCCCAAAAGAGTGGATGCACCCACCTTGAGTTCATGGAGCTCGTGGTCCACAGACTTTACAGGATACATTGTATGCATGCCTGCATTCATACCGGGCGAGGCAACTTCGTGCTCAGCAGGAGCGCTCATGGCACTGTAAACGGAATCGTTGCGGCTGAGCCGACTTTGGCTGAGCGCCACACTGAAGTAGTCGGGGGACTTCATCTGTGCAACTTGCGCTTCGTCGTCCTCGTCATCGTTCAATTCATCTGCCGGGGTAGGCCGAATCTTCACGACGCGGATCAGCCCAATGACTGCAGATGACAAGTGCGAAGCTGCAGCATCCAGGAGAGAAAGCGGAGAGAGTCCACCGGAGCTGGCGAAATTCTTGGTCGCAGTGATCATGTTGTTTGCGGTAGCAGATACTTTGCGGGTGGCCTTGGCACTCAGCGCGGAGAGCTCCTCGTTGCTATCTTTGCGCAGCTCCACATCGTGCAGGATGTGGCGCACAGCAACAACGACCGCTTTGATCTGCTGCATGACCAGCTGATGATCATCCTCCCGCGCAATGCGCAGCAGTTCGTCGATGGAGATCTGGAATTTGGTCACATGCACATCCATGACGAAGCCCGTCTCCTGGATGAACTCGTTGTCCTTCACGACGCTCGCGGCATCTGCGCGCAATTCCGGCATGCCGATGGACGAGGTACGCTGTCGTAATTGAGTCTTCGCTTTGGCGTACCGTGCCTTCCATTGTTTTACCTCCTCTTCCAGTCGATGGACCTCTGTCGTCAGCCGCTCTTCCTGCTCCCACTTGGTATGACTCTGCTCCGATAAGGCCCTCATCTCCACGAGGAACCCTGCTGCCTCCCGCCTGACTTCTTCGGTCACATTTTGTTGCTCTTGCAGCTCCGCCTGCAGGCTTTGGTGCTTGATTTCAAGGTTACTGAATTTGGCCTGCAACTCAGCATCACCCGTGCTCTGCCGCGAAACCTGATCGATCTGACTGCGTAATTCCATCTCGATATCCTGCTGTTCAGTCCGGACCTTCTCGAGTTCTTGCTGCAGGGAGTGATTCAGGTCTTCGGCCTGCGTTATTTTGCTCTCCAAGTCCGACTTGATATCCTCCCACTCTTGGCGTTCTGCGACACTGATCTATTCCACCCGGTTAGCTAGGATGCATTTTGACCGCAGCAAACCCACATACCTGTGATTGGTCTTGTTCTTCCTGGTATCTTGAAAGCTCCTCGTCTTTTGTTTTGACCAACTCTTCCAGCACGCCCAATTTGCTCTGGTCTTCCTCGTAATTCGAGAGTTCCTGATCCCTCAATTTGAGCAGCTCCTCTAACTTGGTCACCTTTTCTTGGAGGAAGGAAACCTGCGACTGGGTCTCTGCCAGCATTTTGCGGTCACCATCTCCTAAAGTTGTCCCGGTCCCTCTCCTACTGTTGAGAACCACATCCAGGGCAAACGCATCACTGCGCGCATCGTAGTCGTCTTCCGTCCCCGCCGCGTCGTCATCATCCTCTACCATGGTACTTTTATTGGGAACAATTGTGTTGCTCTGGAACGACTTCGCCGTGGGGCCATCTCCGTTCATGCTAGGCGGCGGGCCTCCCAAGGAACCCTGACGTGGGGGATAACGCATAGGACTCGGCGGCGGCATCGCACCGGGCGGATACCGCGGGGGTCCCCGGTTCTGTGAATTGCGGCCCCCGGGGCCCGGCGGAGGAAACCCATTGGGCGGAAAGCCGGTGGGAGTGGGAGGAGGGCGCCCGCGAAAGCTCGGGGCGGGACTGACGGCGCGACTGGCATCTCGAGCTGGAAACTGCGGAAATCGACGCTCGAGCTCCGTGTATACATCCGTCGCAAGATCTCTGAAGCGTTGGTGTTGCAGCGAGGCTAGCTTCTTCCGTGCCTGGTTGCGCTTCTCGTGGAACTCCTTTCGCGGGGTAAGGAACGGAGGGATATCGGGACGAGGGGGCCGGGAGGGCGAGGGCATTGCCTGCTGTCGTCGGAGTAGTTCATCGTAGACATCCGTACTGAGCTCGTGGAACTGGGTGGGCGAGAGTCGCAACAGCTTGTCGCGAGCTTTGTTCGATTTGCTATTTATGCGATCTTCCCGATACGGGCCTTGGAGAAATCGGCGCAGAGCGACGTAATGTTGGCCCAGGACCTCCTCCAGCCGCTTCTGCCGCTTAGAGCGGTCGGGCAAGGTCCCATCGCTCGATCGCGCGGCCACGGAGCTCGGCGGAGACGGGTTGCCAGCATCGCTCACGGGGCCCGAGGAGCCTGTCGGAATCCCCTCCACCGTCGACGAGCCACTGGGGACGCCTGATGTTGGGGGTGTCGCGAGATTGCTGCGTGTCGAAAAGGTCGGGGAAAAGGGCGGGTCGGTTTTATTGTATTGGTTGATCCCGGACCAGTCACTCCCATCCACGGAGACAGGCGACATGGTCCCTGAGTGACCGTTCATAGATAAAAGAGATGTTGGTCACTGAGGCGGCTCGAGCAGACCGGGGGTGCAACTAAGCATGCGAGGATGTGCGACGGGCGGAAGTGCGGCACCCGGGCCATCGACCAGGCTCGACGGAGGGCTTGGTAGATGGGTGGAGTTGTAGGAAGATATCGCTTGTTGCTATCGGCCAGACTCAAAGAGAAAAACCTTGACGCAGAGACCAGTTTTGTCACTTTTGAGGGGGTGGTAAGAAGAAGAATTCAGCAGCGACAATAGGAGACTCAGTGAAGACACGCCGGTACGGGGGGGGGGAAAGTAGTTTCTCGGCCAAGTCGGCACGGGCACCAATAATGGAGAAGAAACCAGCAGCAAGATGAAGTAAACAATGCGAACAGGAAAGGTCGGATTAGGATCAGATTAAAGCCGGGCGAATTAAGCCACCGGGGGAAAAAGTCGCAGCCACCAGGAGGAACCTTGGAAACAGCCTCCGGGAGAAATAGTCCATGGGTGAGTGAGAAAGAAGAGTGAAATTAGCAGTAAGTTAGTTGGGTCTAGTAAGTGTTGAGCCACCGAAAGAAAGTCTAGCCGGAAGATTAATATTAATGACTGCGGCAAGCAAAAGAAGCACCAGTCCAGCCGCGGGTGTTTTTTACGAATACGGAGGATACAAAAAGGGGGTATCGTATGGTTCAGCCCACAGTCCACAGTCCACAGTGTCTGCCTAGTCCTTGAGCTTCACTTACTTCAAGTAGCAGTCCGGTCTCAATTTCGACCACTCGACGTTGTGACAGGCACAGACTCTTCTCCGACCTCTTTCTCTCTCTCTGCGCATTCCCTCCTCTGCAATGTTGAGCAGTCAGAAATGATGCGGAGAAGCTGCTCGACTGTCTCAGATTGACCCCGGATAGACCAGATAGACACCCGCCAGACTGATAAGAGCCCCCCAATCGTCTAGCCAGTCACTCTATAAGTGTGGTGCAGTTTGAGACTCATTGAGTACTCTACGGATACAGTACTTCAAACGCGGCGTCAACATACAGTGCAGAGTCGATCATGTCCAGTCACCTCCTCAACTCAACTAAAAATAAATGCTTCATCCTCCAGCTAATGTAGGTACGAAACCACGAATCCTCCGTCGTGCGTCAGGCCAGGAATCCATGATTTCCTTCTCGCCATGAATTACCATACGATGACTGGACAGACACCTTGAACTCCACTCCTCCGCCCGGAACTGATCGATCGGTGCTGAACTAACGCACACAGTGTGGCGGTGGCTGCTGCTGCTGCTGCTGCTGCACCTGCCGAACAGGCACTGCATAATTTAAGGCACATCCATCCAGCAGGTAACTTATACATTCATTCACTAACCTCCCTCTTCGCTACCAACCCCTTAGACTCTACAGTAAAAAACAAGCATTTCCTGCCCCCATCTCCCTTCTTACAATGCCATCCACCCTCTTGAGGCTGGTCTCTCTTCTCCTTTAGGGATGATCAAGTAATAAGCCCAGCACCAATGTGAAAAAACACTGGCCAGCCCCCAATATGCGCTTCACTCCAAGAGTCCAAGCCTTAAAGGGGGAGCCTGGAGGCAGCCTAGGAACCATATTTACACCCGCTCTCCACCCGCTCATCCGCCCATCTGGTCGAGAACTTTCGCTGGCTAAGTTAGTTCAGGAGGTCAGACTCCGACTAAGTTTGTTGTTCGTTGTTGCGTTGGCCTGCTTGCCTGCCTGCATGCCGAGATTGCGAGTCCCACGTTCGAATTCGTTTGGGGTCCAGAACCAACCAATGCCCCCCCTTCAGAGCTTGGATCGGCTTACCTACTGTAGGTCTGTGTTTTTTTTTCGTTTTTTTTCGTTCTGGTATTTGTGGTCGTGTGGGTAAGGATGGCAAGCCTTGTTCATGCGACGAAGCAAAAAAGAAAGAAGCCAGAGAAAGTACTGGTACTCTCTGGCCCTTAGGTTTGAGCTATTGCTTGGGATCTTGGGTTGCGATTGGTGTGCTGTTTTCTGAGTCACTTATTGCTCACTAAGTCAAGGTAGCCTTGGAGCTTTCTACTTACTTTCTTTCTTTCTTTCTTTCACCCCCCTCCAAGCTTCGGGCGTAGGCAGCATCTCAGGGGCCGGCAATCCGTAGCGTGGAGATTCCATGGCCATGGCATAAGGGCTAGAAGGTTCTACCTCCGACGAACTTCCATATAGTCTAATTGGCTTCAGCAGTGGTACTGTCAACGGTAGGCAACAAAGAAGCACATACTCATTTCCTTGGACTCAATATCTATATCCATTGCCCTTGATTCATCCAAGATTGTCTCAATCCGTCTTCAGCAGTCGGCTCCCCCTCCATGGGTTTCACAGAAGCCAAACAAGCATGAACCGGTTCCAAACCTACTCAAGGGACACGGCTCCGCGAGTGGTCCAATGAATTCAACTTTTCATATATACAATCGGGAGATTATGAATAAAAGTAAGCGTCCCGTGAGCTGGGGAAAGTGTAAAAGCCCAGCAAATGAAGAACGCTGTGCAGCGTACAGTACACAACTTTGGACATTGACCTCCGTTGGCCGTGGCTGTTGTTAAGAAGGAACAAGGACCATGTTTCTACTGCTGAGTACCAATGTCGCCAGCCCATACGTCAACCAGTTCTATGAGCTGTAACTTGGTATCTTATATGAGCCTGTATGTGACTTCAGTTGATTGAAACATAGTCGTCCTCAACCGGCGACGGAAGTAATCAATTTTTCTACGCTTTAGTCAAATCCTGTACAATATGACATCGGTTCTCTATGGGTTTTGTATACCATCTTAAATTGATTCCATGGAGACTTATTCTTGGTAGAAGAATCATAGTCAGTTAATATGCAGAGCAAGTTCCAAGGGTAATCGTGGTCGCTAAAATCTTCTAATCAGGGATGTATTCTTCCATCTGGAGCAATCCTCAATCCTACTTTGAATATACTCCACATACCTGTCTTCTAGCGTGCCCTACATCATAGGTATAGGACTATGTGACTGGATTTCCAGTACACAAGACATACAAAGCAGCTTTATACGCTGTTCTCTGCTTCTCCCTTCATCATGGCTCGTATCCTAATGAAGCTTCCTAGGTAGCTTTGATTGAGTGGGAAATGGCAGTCTGCTCTCGAGGTAGGAGCAACTAGAATTTGATGCATTCCCAGGGTCTTCGCATACAGAAACAGTGCAGCCAAAATCAGCACGGAGGAAAGAGCAGTGGACAAGACAGTGCTTGAGGAAGGCGTCTACAACCGTTCATCAAAACAACCTCGCCTTCTGTAGCGTAACTGTAAGTCTGCTAGAATCAACCACATCATATGAGAATATCATATACCATTGTATGATATATCAACACGCTCACTCTTCTCGACCGATCGAGTCCGCCCCAGACCCTCCCCAGCCTCGCTCACAGTATACTCCAGTGAGTTCACTGGGCTTCTGCGATCGCTGGGTGATAAGAGCTCGAGATAGGAAGATGGTCTGGGTTAACTCTTTCCGCCAAATCCGCAGAGTCCCTGGTCTACTACTCTTGTCTCTTACCGCCGAAGCATGCCGAAGTCCAGCCCCATCACTGCACCCACCACTGCACCCACCACTGCGTGAAGCACTCATCGAGTGCTTCCGCGCCACCACCCGCCTAGTCCGACCCGAACTGCGCCGTCAGCTCATCCTAGTTGACGGTGCGGCCAGCATTGCCCACTCCTCGGTGCTTTTCACCGAGGACGTGGATGTTGCGGCCCCTCCCGATGTCCTCACGGGCATTGGGGAGCGTGTGACGGCCGGCGCCCTGAACTTCTCTCTCGATCCCGACGGCAAGATCTCGTTCGATGCCAGCCAAGGATTCCAAGTACGTATCGACCTCATCGAACACGGAAAGGATATCATCGAACGGATCCACGTGGCCGAGCCCTTCTACGAGGGGTCGGCTGCGTCCATGTCGGACTTGTTGGTGTTCAGGGCCGTGACGGTGGTGGATCGTGGAGTGATGGTGAAGCTGCTGACTTTCGATGGCTGCTGTCGGAGGTGGCAAGAGTAGGGCAAGTTCTGCCAGGGCTCACAAGCGAACAGCTGGAGTATGTGAGCGAGGCGGGGAGGTCGTGTCTGGGGGAGCTCGATCGGTTGTTGTTGTTCGCTATCCTTAGCGAACATGATGCTCGTCGGTTTACGGGGGAGGGGACGGCGGGATCTTTCTCTCCTTTGTACCCATTATTATCATAGAATATTCTTCTAGAAGTATTGTATATAGTATTGATAGACATATCAGTTGGATCATCATCATGACTGACTGCCCACGCATCCCCCGTAGTGCGTAATTGTGGTATAGGGTTGGAATACAGATCCGTGGATTGCAACATGATTAGGGCATACTTCCCTTTTGTGACTCAAGACTTTTCCTTCACATCCTGTTCTAGCGTTCTTCATCTTCCGTCTTCTTCCTCTTGTCTTCTATGGATCTATTTCTCGAATGCTCAAGCACAAGAACTATCCTTCACGCCCAACATGGAAACCTCCATCCCATCCACTATCAAAACCCGCTTCCTCATCCTCTCCGATACCCACGGCCACGAGCTCCCCGACGAGTGCTACCAGCACCACGCCGACGTAGTGATCCACTGCGGCGACCTGACCGACTGCTCGTATCTGACCGAGTTCCAAACCACGATCCAGCTCCTCCAGGAACTCCACGCGCCCCTCAAGCTGGTCATCCCCGGCAACCACGACTTCACCCTGGACACCGCGACCTTCCAGCAAAAAGTCCAGACCAGCGGCCTCGACAGCAACGAACAGGACCGCCGCCTCGTGCGGCAAGTCTACGGAGACTACGAGGAAGTCCGAACCAGACTCTTCACCGACGACCTCCAGCAACGCAGCGGAATTACCCTGCTCGACGAGGGCATCCACGTCTTCACCCTGGCCAACGGCGCGCGGCTCACCGTCTACGCCAGCCCGTACACTCCCTCGTTCGGCGGCGACTGGGGCTTCCAGTACCACCCGGCCACGGGCCATGATTTTCACCTGGACAGCAGCAGCAGCAGCAGCGGCAATCAGATCGACGTGGTCATCACTCACGGCCCACCGCGCGGCATCATGGATTATACCACCAGTCGGGATACGCATTCGGGGCGCGGCCGGCGCGCCGGCTGCCCCGGTCTGTTCGCGGCCATCGCCCGCGCCAGACCCCGGGTGCACTGCTTCGGCCACATCCATGAAGGGTGGGGGGCGATGATCGCGCACTGGCGGCGAGAAGTTCACTGTCGCGAGACTCCTCGAGATCAGGAGCAGGAGCAGGAGGGTACCCCGCGAAACGAGCCATCGCACTTCACGGCCATCGACCACGGCCGATCGACCATCCTCGGTAAGCGGGCGCGGCTGGAGCAACATCCGGGGACGATGGCCCCCCCAGCCCCGGCAGTCATGGAAACAAGCCATTGCGCGGGGGACCCGATCCCGTTGAACCCCGGGGAGCAGACCTTGTTCGTGAATGCCGCGGTGGAAGGCTGCAGCGAGGATCTTCCAACGCACCCGTTATGGCAGATCGATATTGAGCTGACGCGCGCGGCTGCCTCTTGAGAAAAGCAGAAACAGAAGCAGAAGCAGCAGAAAGAAAGAAAGAAAGAAAGAAAGAAAGAAAAACGCCTTCCGGAAACATAACCCATCCAATCCCTCGTCAGCATGTGCAGCAAGGGCCCCCGTTTCGTGGCCTCTTCAGTTCATCTTGCCTACGTGCTTTGAGGCAAGAGCCCTCCGTCAGCTGGTTCAAGTAGGCTCTTTCTATGCCTCTTCAACAGGACCTTGTTAAGAGGTGGCGGGTCGGACTGGCTATTCTGCCTTAGGGAAGCGGTGCAGGGCAAACTAGGAGGACAGTTCATAGGTTTCTTCTCGTGGAACCCAGCTTCGAACGCTTCCCAAAGTACCGGTGTCCATTCAATGAAGAATGCGTTGTATCTAGGATAGTGGCAGGTCAGTAGAAGCTTCTACTTGTGCGCGCCTTTAATCATCCTCTACGTTGACAGGTGCGACTGACGGCTATAAACATGCCGGTAATGAAACTTGGTGATAACAGACATGCATTGGACCTCCCCAATGATGTGCGTAGGAAAAAAACAGGCGACATTCCAGGTCATCATATTGTAACTACAGTCAGGTAGCTGTATAGGTTGTGCAATACATGCGAACGAATTCATCATTCGCTTTTCTTCTTCTCCGTCTATCAACAGCCCTGTCTTCACAACCAGGTAAACTCCTCCCCTCAATTAGAAAGTACCGACATGAAATGTGCAGAATGCCCCGGATAAACTACCAGTGCGTATGCAGGAAGTAAATGTACAGTCGTAAAAAAGCCCGTCGGCGGAATGGGGAAATGGCCAGAATTATCCCAACTAAATCATGGGCCAGATAGCCAGAACGGTGTCGTATGCAGAAGAAGACGGGCGAGCAGGTGTCTCCGAGGAGCGCGGGAGGGAAGATTCTGCTCGGTGGCAGGAGGATTGGGGGACATGCATTCATAAGGCAACCGAGCGCATCGGACTTCACTTCGACGAGGTCATAGTGAGGCCTCGGGTAGCACCAACGGCAGCAGAAACAGGGGTGGCCGAGCGGGTCGGGGCAGCGCTACGGTTGTGCGCCATGTGCGCCCGGACAAGGTGGCCGGCAGCCAGGGCAGAGCACAAGCTCAGCTCACCGGCAAGCACAGCCGCGCCGACAATGCGCGCCAGCTGGCGGGCGTTGTCGCCGGGGTTGGTCGGGTGGGAGCCACGCACGCCGAGGAGATCAAGCATGGCGGACTGTCCCTCGAGGATTGTGCCACCACCAATAGTTCCGACTTCGATGGAAGGCATCGACACAGCGATCTGAAGGTCGCCGTTGTAACTATCAACGATTAGCATCATATGTTAAGATTTTGAGGGTGTCGACTCACTTTCTCATGGTAGTGATACAGCTGCTGCTTTCCACGTTCTGGGCAGGATCTTGACCGGTAGCAAGGAAAATCGCAGTAACAATATTGGATGCGTGGGCGTTGAAGCCGCCAATACTTCCAGCCATGGCACTTCCGATCAAGTTCTTGCTGGTGTTCAGCTCAACGAGGGCATTGACATCACTCTTCAACACACTTCGGACAACATCGCCAGGAATGATAGCCTCAGCCACGATAGATTTTCCACGGCCGTCGATCCAGTTAATAGCAGCCGCCTTCTTGTCCGTACAGAAGTTACCCGAAACAGAGATCGTAGCCATGTCGTCAAAGCCGCACTCAGTAGCCATGACGCTGAGTGCCTTCTCGACACCCTTCGAGATCATATTCATGCCCATGGCATCACCTGTCGTCGTCTTGAACCGGATGTACAGATAAGTACCAGCAAGAGCAGTCTTTATGTGCTGCAGTCTAGCGAAGCGGCTGGTGGAGTTGAATGCAGCAGTCATAACGCGCTGGCCTTCCTCTGAATCCAGCCAGACCTTGGCGGCTGCGGCTCGTGCAAGGGTAGGGAAACCGACACAAGGACCACGGGTCATACCGTCACCAGTCAGTACAGTCACCGCACCACCACCAGCGTTGATAGCCTTAGCACCTCGACTGGTACTAGCTACCAAGACACCTTCGGTGGTCGCCATAGGAATGAAATAGTTTTGACCGTCAATGAGCATAGGGCCAGCAACACCGAGGGGCAGAGGCAGATAACCGATGACGTTCTCGCAACAGGCTCCATGAACCAGAGTGTAGTTGTAATCCTTGTAGGGGAGCTTGGAGGTCTCCAAGGAGCCACTAAACTCAGAGGTGGTAGCAGTCCTGGCCACGACGGATCGACGGATTTTCACCGCGCGAGTGAAAGCGTCGCGGCGACTCATAAGATCTTCATTTTCCATGGTCTTCTCCAGAGCGTAACCGGGAATCTTGCCCTTCAAGGAAAGGTCCACGAGCTCCTCATCCGATAGGAAGGCAGCTCTCTTCTCCTTCAGGAAAAGCTCGCATTCTGCAGCGCTCCTCGTGGGACCATCCTGGTTGTTCAGGTCGATCTTAGGGTATACCTTGGGCTTCGGGGCTTCCATCTTGGGTGCAGCTTCGGGCTCCTTGATGCTCCATCTGGCCGCGTTGAAGAGATAGCCATTCAGAATGATGCTCAAAGTGAGGGCAGCGATGATCCACTTGCTAATAACGGGGTCCTCAATGCTCTTCAAAAGGCTTTCGATCACGCGCCCACCAACAGCATCGAGGAACTGGTCGGTGTACTCAATCTCGAATCCTGCGCTCTCTCCTAGCGCAGCATAGTGGACAGAGGGATACTCCAATTTGTACTTGATGGGAGGGATAACTGTCACGATAGTCTCCTGCATCTGGCTCTTGGCGGCAACATAGACGGAGTCAAGGCCATTCTCGGCGACCTTGAATGGGTCAATGGGGGTAGGAGCGAGAACATTGGAAACGCGCGACAGAAGGGGAATGCTAGTAGAATCCCGGAAAGGGATAGCCGTCAGGTTCACCACATTGATCAAGATGAAACCGCCAACCATCAGAATCTTGAAGAGACGGACGTTGCTGGACTTGAACTTCTTGCCAAAGATGCTGGTCTCGCTGTTGCCATTGTACTCCGATCCAGCTCTCGGCCAGTCATTGTTGGAAGCCACGTTCTCGGCAACACGCTGAGTGATCCCATCTTCCTCGAGAGCCTTGCGGAGCGCAACATGGCGTCTAATACGGGTGATCTCAAGCTTGATGCAGAGAATCGTAGTGTAGAAGGTGAACAACAAGAGGCAGTCGAAAAACAGGATCCAAGCAGCAAGGAAGCAGAACTGCCTCAGGCCACCCTGGACGCCAGAAGCTGCACCAGCAGCAAGAATGGCAATTTCAATGCAATAATCGCGAACAATTTCGCAGCCCTGCTCTTTGATGGCAGTCTGGATAGAGTCCTGGATGGATCTGGGGTTGTTGCCAGCCCGGGCACCCTGCTTCCTATCCACGGAAGCGCTCAGGACAGCTCGGGTAAGGATGATCGACTTCTCGAATCCAATGGTCACCACAAGGAATGGAAGGCCCTCAGACAGCAAGAGCATGTTAATAGGCACTCCAAGCTTTGTTGTTACCAAAAGTCCGAACAAGAAGGCAAAAGCACCAGAGAAAAGCACAGTGGTAGCCAACCAAAAATTCGATCCCAGACGGCGCATGGAGAAGAAAAGGGAAACAAAGCTAAGGTGCATGGAGAGGTAACCCAGGGTCATAATGACGATGTCAATGGTCTCAGCGTGCTACAAACAATTAGCGAACAAGTCATTGAGCTGGTTGCATTTCGTGAGGAGATACCTTGATCAGATCAACGAATGAGTTCCAAGCGTCTGCGAACCACAGCTTGAGCGCTCCAGTCGAGCCATAAGCCGGGCCACGGGCTGCCCTCATGATCCATTTCTTCTGTTCTCCTTCTTCCGCACCAGCTGAGGGTTCGGGGATCTCTTGCACGGCCTTCAGGAAATCGGAGACCTGCTCGAAAGGAAGAGCAAACACGAGAGAAGAATCATGGGAGAAAGGCGAGAACAGGTTGGGTGTATGGGGAACCCGCTGGGCAGATGCGTTCGCAGGAATTGGGACCTCGTCGACCAGAGGGGCAGTCGATACCGACTTAGAGACCGAGTCGGGGAAGATAAATGTAGCCAGTGCCATGTGCTGAGCGGACTATCAGATCGAAAGGATCAGTGCATGAACAGACACAGATAGGTCGATCAGGCAGATACTCACCTCAGAGTCTTCGAGGGTCGGAGCATCCTCAACTTGCCACTTCCACGAGGTACTCTCTCCCAGGCGCAAATTCCTACTGCCTCTGAGAAGAGTGTCCACATCGACCTGGCCGGGTACATTGCGCGGGTTCTTGAACGAGTCGAAAAGACTTCCCTCAAGCAGACCGACATAGGTTGTGCTGGCCAGAAGGGCAATTACCACGATCGTGTGAATTGGGTGAAGGCAGGCACGGCGGGAGATAAACTGCAGACCGCTGGTGACTTGACGCTTGAGCCATCCGGGCTGAGCATCGCGATCCTCCTCTGTCGTACGCGACTTGCGAGGGATCAAGGTCGAAGCCATGATTGCTTATGATAGTTCGACAATTGAGTCGAAAGGAGCGGTGTGGACCGGGTGTTAAAGGAGACGGTAGTCGGGAGGGCGATGGTCCACGCGTTGAGAATCCGCCAAAAGAGTGCTCCCGAACGTATCGCACTAATTCACGCGAACAATGGCCTAAATTTTTAGATCTGAACGAACACCTCCCCAAAGGTCAATGGCATGGGATTGAGGAGCGAAAGTGGTCGTTGCTTATCGGGTCTAAACAGAAAAAAAAGGAATGCGATGAGCTTTGCGATCGGTGGGGGGGCAAGTAAGGGCGGACGAGGGGATCGGGGTGGCTTTACCTGACAGCAAAACGTCCAAAGTCCAACCTCTGTGTTGAACTGGAATCAAGATCCCAAGCAACTGGATTCTTGAGGTTTTTTTACCCCTTCTGGGTCTTCCTGACTCGATCACGGGCCCCTGAAAGAAGTAAGGGTGGAAGTACTCCCACTAGGCAGCCACAGAGGCGGTGGGATTAAGTAAATCCGCGAGTTTCGCCGCTGAACCAAGCCACAGGTTCGGCCAACAAAGACAGCCAATGGATGGCACTGCGGGAATACGGACCGCAGCAGTGCCAAGGTGGCTCAAAAGTACACCGGTCGCGTTGGGATACAACCGACAATTCACTTATCGGGCTACTACCACAAGATCAATGGATCTGGGAGTAGGTGATATAGTGAATATCAAAGGTGTAAAAGGAGAGGAAGAGGAAGAGTGAAAGAGAAATGAGCGGAAAGAAGTGAGAAGTGAGGAAGGGGAGAGAGAGCGGAGGGGGGGGGGCAACCCAGAATAAAGAAGAATTGGGAACAATAGCGACTACCGGGACAAGTTCCAATGGAGATACCCCAATAAGGACTAGTACGAATTGATAGTGGTTTTTCTGGTTTCCCTATTTTCCACTTTCCCTTTTTTTTTTTTTCTTTACGAAAGTAACTCCATGCTAAACTCACTTCTAGTCTAGTCGGTGGTCACATACTCCGCTTATCGGGAGGAAGCCGCAACAATCAATCATCCCAACGTGGAGGATGCACAAATGATGCCAGCTGCAAGTCTGCAAGTACTGCAAGTAGGGTTGGTCAGCGTTGTTCTGAGATCAGCATTTACAGATTCTGCAGCCGCTTGCAGACTAACCTTGCATGTTCAATGTTGGATGGTGTGTCTGCAGTGTGCATTACATTAGTAGTATGTGTGAGCAAGCCTTTGCCCAATCTCACCGAAGGAACCGAATGCTTCCAAACCTTAGCGATCAGAAAACAGTCGACGGCTGGAGTATTATCCCTACCTTACAGCCACTATTTTTTTTTCTTTCCTTCAAGGTCAAGAAAACCCGAGCCCGAAGGAAAGGGTATCCATGTGGCCAGCTCCGTTAGACGGGTATAGCCCATCATTGGATCTCTGCTCAGCCCTGAGAGCCACTTCTCTACTGGTCGGCAGACCAAACGAGGCACTCAGCACTCGTAGTAAGACGGCATTAATCTCTTGTGGAATCCAAACACTTAGTTTAGCCAAGCAGCGACATACGGGCCCAACAGCGACCCGCATGTCAGGCCAACCTCTTTCAAGATTTCGGCTTTCCTGCACTCTGCCGCCGTTGGTCAAGCGGTCGGAATGTAGGAGATTGGGGAAGAGCTTTTGGTGTCCGAGTGAAGCTGAACACCTCGAAACACATCGGTACCACAAACGTCATCAGAGACAGATTCCACGTCCTACGAGGGATACGGATTGTGGTACTGGTTGGTGATACCTACTAACCATGGACCAGTTGGTCTGATCATGATGACTTCAAGAAGTTCAGCAGCAAAGCACCCTGGCCACCACCATCACCAGATCATCTCTCCGATTATCCATGCCAGCGTGAAACACCGCATGCATTCATTCTCCTGGTCTTGTTGGTCGTAATGGTGGCAAGGGCAATCCTGGTCCGGCAGAGAGCAATCACACACACACACACACACACAAGCAGTCCAGTCTAGTCGTAAAAATATTATTCAATGCGTTAGGTAATTTCAAGGTCCCTTCCCTCCATCCCCATCCGCCCTTCTGGTGGTTTGGTCAATTGGCATCCCGCTCTGGAAAGCTGTAGTAGAACTAACCCCTCCATCTGATAAAAAAAAACCCCCAAGACTGCATCCGTAGCCCGATATTCCCTCATTCTGCCGGGGTGGGGATAGAATGGTGGAAACCGGGACCGTCGATGGCCACTGAAGGGCTGCGATTCATCGGAGATAACACAGCCTACCCACCCTTTTTTCATCTAATCAATCTCTTCATCTCTCTGGCGAAGAGGGGGGAAGGATTCCCCATCTTGTCTCACATACGGTTCCTTTGGGTTTAGGCCTGGTTTAAATTTCTTTGTACGCTTCGGTGAAATCGTGGCAGAAAGGAAGAAAATGTTCTGTCAAAAACTTTGTTGTATACTGACTGTCAGAACATATTGCAAACCCGAGCAAGGTTGTTCTCCCCTCTCTCAGGCAACAGAGAAAAAAAAAAAGAAAACAAAAACTCCCCCGGTAGATAGTCCGGAAATCGGCAGGGAAAAAAACCAGTACAGCTGCGGGTCTGGCACTCTTGACACGTAACGAGCTTGGACCCGGATGAGATCATGGAACAAGTCGCTACTGTTTAACCTTCTCAAGCAGTAACTTACGGTGATTTGAGTTGTTGACCTAATGTCATGAACATGAGTAACTTTCATGTTGCTCTCGCAATGCTGGATGCACGGTGGTTGTGTGCTCGGGGGTCGGGTTTTCCCTGAGAACCGATAATCAATTGAAGGGTACTCAGTACCTTAGTTGGGCGATGGAACCACGGCGACGCTGCGAATTTGTTTGATCCAAAGACGAGACGAAGGTGGAGTGGGGGGGGGAAGGCTCTCTTCAATGCCAAGGAAGAACCTCGTGAGGTCGGTGAGTTGGTGACTTGCTCGACCCGAGTATCTCAGCCCCTTGGCCAGACAGGTAGAATTACCAGAAGTCTATCAATGAGTTGTGTCATGTCCAATAGGTACAAATCTGTGTGTAGGGAATGCTTAAGTGCACTTTTAAAGGTATAAATTAGGTAGTCAACTAGGTACTTACCGTAGAGCATTGGGCGGGCGGGAGGATCTAGAAGGGGTTTGTTGTCAGTTTCATGCATGAGCCGCAGTGCTGCAAACCCTTTTATTCGCATCTTGGACTTCACAGTCATAGATAGGATTTTCAGTCCTCATAGGAAGTATTCTTCAGCGAGACTAATCAGGCTCCATGCACATAGCTAAGAGAACCTCTCAGTCATGCACGGATAAGTTTCTGCTTTTCAGATCTTCTGTCCCAGCCGTCCTAGAATCTGCTAGGGTTGGCAAGGGCGGGACGCGGGCATGTTTCAACACTCCCTCCTCAGGCGCCTAAAACATCAACATGCAACGCCTGGCTGGGTGAATGTCTGCCCGGCTGGTTGCTGAACACCAATGCGCGCCAAAGCCACGCTTCCAGCAAGCTAGATAGCTCCTCATAGATTGGGGGGCACATCGCTAAGCTACCCAAAATAACTAACCCTAGCTGCTTGAGTGCAGGGAATAGGGCAGGATCAAAGATCAAAGGACTGCGTCGTCTGCATCTCTGCAACAACAGGTTCATCCGTGAGGGCGAATAAGTGCCTGTCAGGAGATTATATTCCAGCCCAGGTTAGGCGCCGTTGCTAATTTCAGACCTCAGTAGCGTCGCAAAATCCATCAATACCTGACCGATCTGATCTTCTTCTTCTTCATGCCATTCCCTTTCCCCCCTTCCGCGCTAGACATTGAAGACGAATCATGTCTGTCGCCTTTCTCCGGATCATCCAGGGCCAAAAAGCTTGGTAGCGCTTGCAAGGGGATCGATTGGTCCTACGATGTTCATCATGAATCTATTCCAGTCATGATCATGTTATTACATTGTCCCGTAGCGCCTAGAGAAACGAGCCTCTCATGACTGACGCAGCTTGGCCGAGTTTCCTCATTCTCTTTTGTTTCAAACGACTGGATTATACTGGACAACTGCTTTGACTCCTAATTTCTTTTGGGAAGTGAATTTGATCATAATAAGGCCCCCGAGGGCGACAATATCTGGAACGGGCACTCTCCTTCAATGTCATTGTTAACACCCAATGACTCCCATTTCCTTTGTGTTTGATTCATTGTACGTTGGGATTCTCCGCTAAATAGCCATTGTCCATCGCTATCATCCATTTTCTTTGAGTGGAACACTCCAGCAAAGTAGACCACGAGAGAAGATACATAAGACCCTTCTTGTCATAATGAGGCTATAAATTATGTATGAATCACCCCTGCCTTCTACAAACCATCATTGCATCTACTGACCACACACAGAAACCAACCACTAAAAATTTCTTGATAGAGAACCCCGCTGGCCGGTGTCTCAAATTGCGATTCCTCACACGAACAACGATTCAACGGAGCGTCTAGAAATCACCACAATTTGACAAAGACGCAATCATGCTCTTCATCCGTGGTACGGGATTGGGGGGGCTCCTGCTCGCCCTGGGCTTGTCAACTGCGAACGCACACTCCTGGGTGGAACAACTGACGGTCATCGCGCCAAATGGCACCTTTGTCGGAGCAACTGGCTACCCCCGCGGCAACGTCCAGCGGACCGCCGCTGGCTTCAGCGATACCGATATGACGTATCTCATCCCCCCGAACGGCCGGGCCAATCAAAGCGAGATCCTTTCCACCGACAAGATGTGCAAGGACAGCCAGCAGATGTACCAACAGACTGAAGGAAACCCCCGCCTGCAGGCCAGCGCGGGCGCAGCTATCGCTCTCCGTTATCAGGAAAACGGCCATGTGACCCTCCCCGGGACGCAGCCGGGGAAGCCCGCAAACCGCGGCACGGTCTACGTGTACGGGACCACCGAGCCCAAGGCAGACGAGAAGCTCCTGGACGTCCACCGCGTCTGGAACCGCGACGGCACGGGAGGCGACCGGCGCGGCGTGCTGCTGTCGGAGCAGAACTTCGATGACGGCCGGTGCTACCAGATCAACTCCGGGAATATCTCCGAGCATCGCCAGGCCGAGTTTCCTCACGTGGCCGACCAGACCA